GATTTTGTCTTTTATTGTTGACAGTGTCTTTTGTTGTACATGCCAAGCTATCAGCGATTTTTTTTATCGTTCGATTGAAAACGTGGGGCAGAATTCGATGAATCAGGTAGTCGGGCGTTAGGTTTAGCCTAATTGCTGGTGCTTTGGCCATTTGGGGTTGTTAGTTTTGGTCAAATTGTTGGTGCTTTCGCCATTTCGTGATGTTAGTTTTGATCAAATTGTTGGTGCTTTCGCCATTTCGTGATGTTAGTTTTGGTCAAATTGTTGGAGTTATCACATTTTTGTGAAGTTTATTTTCGCACACAATTTAGAGCTTTAGAGGCTCGTTGGTGCTTTTGTTACGTTGTTATAAATGTATTTTTTTTTATTTGCATGGATAAGAATTAGTATGGAAAACGAGAAAACATAATGACCTTTTTCCAAAAATTGTATAAACAGAATAGGCAGGGGCTTAGAAGATTAATTAAGGTGTAAAGGGGAATTTTTGGTCCCAGTACATGTTGTAGTAGCAGGGGCGTCACATGGTCGGGTGTAACCTGGTGTGGAAACTAAAGGTGTCCCTCCCACCCCAGCTCCTCTTTAATAATTTTGCATATTCGTTTGGAGTCTTGCCTAGCCCATTTTATTTTTAAAAATTTAGCTGGATAAAATATTGTTTCGACAATAAATTTTACGAATTTCGAATTGGTTTCGCATCCAAAATGGTGTCACCAGATACGGACCGCGCCTCCACCATCTCGCTCCAAAGATGTGTCGCTGCTGTGTAGTCTAGTAGTAGCACTGTCCTAATGCATCAAACGTGCGTTACTCAGAACAGACCACTAAAAGATACACACTGTGCGCATATTACTTACGTCACAAATGGAAGGGGGTAACAAAAGAAAGCACCCACCTCTACCATATTCAGATATAAATTTGTCCAACGACTAACGAAAACTAAAACAAATTGGTACTTGTTCTATTCGCTAGCCCGTGTATTTTTTTTGTCTCTTAAGCCTAGCATGCCAGGGCACTCTGTACCCTCTCCTGATAACCAGCGAACCAGAGGTCATCCAATATCTCGTTATGGTCAGGCCAAACAAACCTGGTCAATAGCTAGTCCAACAAGTCGACTTCCTGACGAGGCTATCGAGCTCATTACAACCAGCCAATCAGCGTTTGTGTTTCATTCATCCGTTTTTTGCTTGACCTTGACCCTGGAGTCACGTACTTGAAATGTGTTTGTTCTGGGACAGTGATGTGAAAAGTCACGTGGTCGCTGATCGACTTTGGTCGTGTATTGATCGGTAACAATTCATGTCTGAGCTGCACCGAGGTCCATCCATTCCTTGACTGACTGTCAATGTAATTCCTTGACTGACTGCCAATGTAATTCCTTGACTGACTGTCAATGTAATTCCTTTTGTTTTGTCCGTCAGATCCCTATATGACCAGATCTCCCCCCCCCCCCCCACCCGTCAACTGTTTGAATTGTCCAGCAGAATTTACTAGGCAATCAGGGGCAGATACTAGAGCCTGTTCTACACCACCACACAACACCACACCCATCGTCATACTACCTAACAAAATCGGCACGACCACACACACACACACATACCTAACCACATAATCACCACCACACACACACCATCACACCCGTCGTCATTACTTCCTTACCACATCATCACCATCACACACCACCATCACACCCATCGTCATTACTACCTAACCACATCATCACGACCACACACACACACCACCATCACATCCATCGTCATTACTACCTAACCACATCATCACGACCACACACACACCACCACCATCACACCCACCGTCATTACTACCTAACCACATCATCACGACCACACACACACCACCACCACCACACCCACCGTCATTACTACCTAACCACATCATCACGACCACACACACACTCACCACCACACCCATCATCACCACCTCATATACTGACCTTAACGATTACAATTACGTCTTTCTTACCTCATCATCGATGTTTCACCATCTCTTCCTCATCATCTAATTACCATCTTATTACAATCACAGCATCCTACCTCGTCGACTCAATAACTGTATAAGCAACATTTGTCCATCAACCTCATCATCAACATAAATATCACGATCGCACACTAGCAAATAATCCCATAATACGTATCCACATCCCATTATCACTACATCATCAATCATCGTCACCACAACATAAACATCATAACATCATGATCACTTTACAAGCATCACATCCACACCATCTTATCATTACAACATAAACATCATCATCTCCTCTCTCTCCCACATCTTCAACGCTATCTATGAATAATCCAGTTTTTTTAAAAGCTATCCTGAGCAAAAACACGAAAAACGATGTCATAAAAGCACTAAGATCTCCGCTTGCACCGAATGCAGTGCATGGAATGGTGCGGCTGTGTTTATAAAAAGATCGGGAATATCCCATCTCCCAACCTAGACAGGAACATTAGTGCTTTGTCAATGTCCTGCTTGACAAGCCAGTGATCTAAGGGGAGAAAACAAATCAAGAGAAGATAACTCTACGAGCAAAAAAAAAAAACATTCGACATTTCCATTCTTGTAAGCCCAATAAATAGCAAATAAACTTTCCCTGTAAACACTGGCTGACATTTTCCTCGACAAACGGTCGATATTTTTTTTTAATTAGTCTACCCTTATCCCTTATCGCACCGTTTCCCCCCTCGTCTAGAGGCCCAAAGTGTACTGGAATAAACCGGACTAATCAGACGGCATCGTCTAGCTCTTTTCCTCTGTACACCGCAGAGCCGGCCGGGCCCGGCGTAGCAGTTTAAAATCTCGCTGTCTAACCGGATATGACTAGAACTGCTCGTTAGTTTCGCTTTGAAGCTGGCCTGGTATACTGATCTGTATTGATTGGTTTGTGTTTGCTGAATCTGAAGCTTGTAAAAATTATCTTCCCGAATAAGAAAATCAACATCATTAAACGGATTGCACTCATCAACTTCATAACAGAGCAGACACTAATCAGTGTTTCTTTCATGCATCTCTCTGGGGGAATGTCACCCTCCCCTGACGAAACAGAAACAAAAATAGTTTATATTTAAAATATATAGGGGCCCACTTTATAACCAATGAACACCGCACTTCCCGGAAATTTTGAGCACACCCCCATCCCCGGAAGTTTAAAGTGCCCCTCCTCCCCCTCCCGGAGAATCACGTCAGAAAGAAACTCTGCAGCAATTAGGTCTTTAGGTCGCATATAAATGACGTTTATAAATGTGAGATTTTCATCTTTCATGTAAACGCATATAAAAAGTTCTCGCAAATCTTCCATCGAATGTTGACACGTCATTTAGTTGCTTACTCCTCGTGTGCGTGTTGGGGGAGGAGGGGGGTGTAAAAATGCTAACTTTAAGAAAAAAAGTTATTTAACATAGGCCTATCTTCCAGCATGTTATGGCACCATCCTCCCCAGAACGGGGGGGGGGGGAGAGGACACCTTGACTTAACGGACCTAATGGCACCCGACCTTATGGCGCAATTCAAATTAAGGTACTGTTTCCGTCCTAACAGGAAATTATACACCCCACACCTCGCTACACCCCACACTACACGATATCCCGGGGACGGAGTGGTCTAGCGGTAGAGAGCTGGACTGCTAACCCGTAAGTCTCCAGTTAGAATCCGGGTTAAAGTCAGTAGAACGTCCCTGAGTCCACCCAACTCTGGTGGGTACCTTAGGGAAAGTAAAGGTGCCTGGGCATAGTGCTGACCACACTATCTCTTCATACGGCGAGTTCACAGAAACAAGTGAACTATACTTCACTTGCCCCATAGTTTTAGAAAAAAAAATATTAATTTTACAAAAATGTGTACATATCCATATTCATAAGCACAATTAACATGCATGGCTAAGTAAATACAAACTGATAATCTGTGATAAAACACCACTGATATATTTGAAAGCTGGTTATATTTGTTCTGATTAGGTCTGTTCTGTGAATGTGACTTTTTGTTTTGTTTACAACAGTGTCTTTCTTCACATAATTACATTCAGATATAAAAGCCTAGATAACCAGCAGTTAAAAAACTGACTGCAGTTGCATCTTCTTATTATAGTTCTACAAATGTTTTTATGGCTGAATGTATGTGGGTTTTTTAACATATAATTATAAAAATATCTTTCTTGTTAAAAGTCAGTTTAAAATGTTGCCATAATCCTCAATACCCAAAGTAATAAAAATGTACTGTTACAGAAAACTTTATTAAATTATTTGTTAAGTAATAGACAGGTTGTCAACAGAGCTTTAGAACAAATGGCACATTACTATGATCATACTCAGTAAGATTTATTTTGTAAAGAAAGATTAAATAAACAGTAAAACATTTATATAAGTAAAAAAAAAATTCTATATAATATTTTTCAGTTATACATCATACTTTTAAACTGCAAGAAAAAAAAATAGTAATGACAAAAGTTAGAGCAGAAAATAGTTTTATATTTAGAAGAGCTTTTTAAGGGGAAAAAACTTTTCAAAGACTGACAACTCACAGTGTGTGTGTATGGGTTAGTCATAACAGCTTCTTCCACATACAGTTGTATAATAAAAATAATAAAGACAAGTATGAAAGTAACTTAAATGGGTTATCAAATAATCAATATAAAAATAAATTCTAGTTGCATATAAACAGAAATTTTTTTTTCATCACAAAAAACAACAGCAAAAACCAATAGGCCAACCAACAAAAAATGGGTTTCTTTTTATAATGACACATAACAGAAAGACAACTGGTAAAACCAGGGGAAAACATACAAGTTAATGCATCCAAATGTTTATAAATCACCAGGCAGTTATAAAATATAAAGACTAAAAAAGAATGGCAGCTATCAAAATATAAAACGTTATTCTTCTTTCTATAACTCACAACCAGTTGATGGTTGTAGACTTACTTCAACACTTTGAGAATGACAGATTTAATTTAATTTCAAATAGTAAAAAGTGCATATTTTTAAAAAAATGAGATTTTGTACATAAAACATGTACATAAATGTTGAAAGAAATAGTTTTAGCAGAATGTAAATTGTAAACAAACAAAGGACAACAACTCCAATCTACAGAACTAGTTTGTCTACCATCAGGCCAGTACTTTGTTGAACTCTCTCCACAGTGAATGGGGCAACTGAAAGGTTTGAAAGCCAAAAGTTAAAACAGAAATAATTTTACACAAGTTCTGGATATAGCTGAGATCAGGGACTGTTCTGTGTCAATTATCTACTTGATGCATACTTCTACAGAGAGCAGTTAAAGGTTTTTTTTAACACTCAGTGCTTTCTTTTACTCATACTAAGAAGGGTTATGCCTGTCAACCCAAGTCCTTCCAGCTCAGGACATTATTAAAAAAAGACCTGTCAACCATGACCTGTCAACCCAGGACCTGCCAGGAACTTCTGGATCAGGACCTTTTGAACCAGGAACTTCCATTTCAGGACCCTCAGGACCTTTCAGCTCAGGACCTTTTGAACCAGGACCTGCCAACCCAATACCTCCCAAAATTCTTCTAGCTCACGAAGGTCCAAATTTACCTACCTGTAGGCAAAAAGTCTGTGGAACCAAACAAATCATGACGAGCAGACTGGACAGCAAGTTTGTTAGCTAGCAGGGCACCAACAGACAGAGAGATGGGCGGTTCACCAACAGCTGGAATAGATGTTTATATTTACAGTATTTTATAATGACATGTCATTTTTTTTATACTCACACATTTTTTATATTGAAACATCATTTTTATACTAACACATCATTTTTTTTTCTGACTCATCATTTTTTTTTATACTGACACTTGTTTTTACGGACACATCATTTTTTTATACTGATGCATTATCGTAAAAGTCTAAGATAAGACTGTTCAAAGTTACATACACAAAAAGTAAGTATTTTAAATTACAAACTTTCAATTCCGTAAAATTATTTTTAAATTTTAAACTTTCATTAGTGTAAAATTATATTTTTATTTTTCTGTTCCTATAACAAAAAATATTTACCTTTAGAGCTTCGGATTCCTGAAGGGTTTGGGGTATCAGGCAAGAGATGGATTCTCCAGTCTATTGGAATATCTTTGCTTGTTGGCGGCTTATACTCCTGGCAATGGTCAGTTTTGATTAATGTAGGATTTTTTTTAATCTTAATTTGGCCTAACAAAAAAATTAGTTGCTATTACTCAAGGAATGTTTTAAAATTTAGAATTTTAAAATATAGAATTTTTAAATAAAATCTTAATATGGCCCAACAAAAACATTAGTAGCTATAAATCTAAGAATGTTTTAAAATATAGAATTTTAAAAATCTTAATTTGGCTCTACAAAAAAATTAGTGGCTATAAATCTAAGAATGTTTTAAAAGTTAGAATTTTAAAAATCTTTATTTGGCCCAAAAAAAAAAAGAGTTGCTATAAAGCTAGGCAAGTTTGAAGTTATAAATGAAACAATAAACCAGTATCATACCCATGTTCCATCATTGAGTATCCTGCCTGTATCTGCATTAAAGACGATGTCTTCAGACATGTAGGCCCCTAGACCCATCAAGAACGCACCTTCCACTTGCCCAATGTCAATCATTGGATTTAAACTGAAATTTTTAAAAAGAATTTCTTAGCATGTCTTGTTTATTTCTACTAAATTTACGGTACAAAATGTTTAAACGTTACCTTTTTGCAGTTAGCAAGTCCATACTGCTTTCAATCGCAGTAGGTGAAGTAGAGTGTCACACTTACCTTTCTCCAAAGTCAGCCATGATGTCCACTCTCCTGATCTGAGACTCGCCAGTTAGGATGTCCACTTCACTCTCAATCACAGCAGCACAGTAGGTGAAGTATTGGTAAATCTTCTCACACTTTGCAGGCACAAAGCTTTAAAAAGACAGGTGACAATTTAAGTCCTGTGATATTCTGCTAATGGCATCAATTTTCTGCAGCTCCTGACTTTCAATTTAATTATTAATGAGCTGAGATTTAGTTTAACTTATGATTTCATTTTCATTAATCTGTAGTTTACAGGGAAAAAAAATGTTATGGAAAGACTTTGTAAGGATTTTTTTGGTACGATTTTGTTTATGGGAAGAATTTGTTTTCAATTGTGAATGAATTTAAGTTACATTTTAGCATTGTTTGATTTGACTAAATGTAAAGTTCCCTTTTGAACCTGGCTGTTCATAGGACAAGTGAATTAGAGTTCACCTGTTTCTGTGACCTCAGAATATGAAGTAATAGTGTGGCCAGCAATGTGCCCAACCTCTTTTACTTTCGATAATGTGTTTTTTACTATAAAAATATAATTTTGAAAGTACTCACGTGTGTTGTGCAGATAAATCTATATTATTTTGAAGACACTTCTTGCACAGTTCCTTCCAGCTTGCATCAGGGAACTTCTCTCTGATTGGCTGCATTCTCAGCTTCAGGATATTACTGGCTTCAACTGCTGCCTGGGAAATTTAAAATTCCGGAATTTAAAGTACAATAACATATACAAAACAATATATTAACTTTGAGATGTGAGAGAGTTGTACCTGCATGGACACCTCACTAGCAATACTCCCACCAGACACCATGCTGTTGGGGGTGATGATGGTTTGGTTTGGTCGAACTTTGATGCTCTCAATAGGCACTCCCAAAACATGAGCCACACCCTGTGCAACCTATACAATGATCAAAAGGTTCTTTTAAGAATTGAAAACAGGTGAAAGGAAAAGTTTTAAAAATATGGAACTATAATGATATTTAAATCAACTGTTGCAGAAAAGCTTGAAATACACTTCCTTGTTAAATGTAGAATAATTAGAAGACTTTCTTACCAGTTGGTGTCAATTTTTATTATAAGCCTACATTTTTTTAAACAAACTACAATTAAAACACATTTGCCAGTTTAATCGATAATAAAACACAAGTTGACAAGTAAAAAACAATGCAGAAAAGACATTTCCCAAAAGTGTTATTCATATTAAACATATGTATCTAATTACGTAATGTACAGGGTTAAATCACCTTAGTATATAGACCTTGACCCATTTCCACGCCCCCTTGGCTGACTGTGACAGTTCCATCTGTAGCAAATATGGCCACATGTGAAGTCTGTCCAGCAAAGTGGGATATTCCATATTTGCTGGTGGTCATTGTGATGCCTCGCTTCTTCCAAAGGTTTTCCTAGGTAGTGCCAGAATTAGATGAGCATTTTCATGTTAAAAGATAAAAACACACCAATGTCAAATAAAAACTTTTACATAACTTTGTCAATGGCCTACACACAATTTTTTTTTATTTGTAGCAAAATTTATTTTTAACCAAATTTGCAAAGTAAAATCTGTATTTATTTTTATAAGTTATACAGAGGAATATCTATATGTTGCCTGATTTTTTCCTCACAAAGCTCTTGTCTATCTGGCAACTGTTTTAAAGCTGAATCAACACAACCTCCCAGACATGTTTGTATGAGATGAATGCCAGATTTTTTTAAATGTTAGAGCAAGTACCTGGTTAAAGGCATCCACCTGCCTCATCCTCCCTTCTACCTCAGCAGTGTCCTTGAGACGTCTCCACAGATCCCTTAAGGTACAGTTGGTCATTGGGTGGCCAAACAGGTCAGTCTGGTCAGGGGGAAAAGTTACTATTTTACATGGTGCATTGAAAATATAGGCCAAAATTAATAGGTCCAGTATTAGTTTTCTATATAGAAAAACAGTATTTTGATTTAAAATATTTTAAGTTTTTTTTTATGATTAAAGAACTAGTGAATAGTGAGTAAACATAGTAGAAAGTAATGGTCTGCACAAGGTAGCAATCTTCAGTTAATGTAGCCATACTACCCCTATATAAATCACTGTTTAGTATCAGTCTTTATACACAATAGAAATAGAACCATTAAACTTAACTGCTAACACTAAACATGACTAATCCTGGGCTAAACATGAAGACTAAACCTAAGCATATAACATATTCTTCAACCCAAAACTAAAGCTAACCTAAAACTTAATCACTGATTACTAAAATTCAATTCCGTTAAATCTAACATTTTACCTGACACTAGGCTTTATCCTACCTATAACCATCACCACCACACTATAATATGGCATGGCTACTTTCTTATATTCAAGTCATCAAGAACCACCACAGTCAAATATACCACTAGCTCCTAATTAACCATGGGACGGAGTGGTCTAGCGGTAGAGAGTTGGACTGCTAACCCGTTAGTCTCGAGATCGAATCCGGGTTCAAGTCAGTAGACCGTCCCTGAGTCCACCCAACTCTGATGGGTACCTAACTTACGTTAGGGAAAGTAAAGGCGGCTGGGCATAAGGCTGACCACACTATCCATTCATATGCCGAGGTCACAGAAACAAGTTAACTCTACTTCACTTGCCCTATAGACCGTCAGGTTTGAAAGGGAAAATTTACTTTACTTTTACTAATTAACCAGTACTAGATCAGTAAGAGTTGGTCGACATGTTATTATTTTAAAAGATTCCACAACAGACCTGCTCCCTCTCATACAAGTTGATCTCCTTGACGAGGATGGGGTGTCTGTTCACAGACCTGGCCACATGTTCCATGATGGTCTCAATGATAAACGCAGCGGGCACAGAACCTGAAAATCAAAGTTTCACAACTACACTCCACATGCTCAAATGTTTTTTTCACAACTACACTCCACATGCTCAAATGTTTTTTTTAATAAATGTGCAAAACACCATTCTCTTACAAACTCAAATCTGGCACAGATAGTTTGATTTAATGTTTCAGTGGAGTACTCAGTGATATAGCAAGGATTTAGTAAAAATAGAAGTCCATGGGGGTTCAAACATCCGTCTTACACCCCCTGCCTACAACACTGTCCTCACTTTATTGTGTCCTTGCTTTTCGGTGAAAAATATTTTCCAGATAATTTCATTTGACAAAAAGATACAGAACATGAATGATTCTGGTAGTCTAGATCTGAGGCCTTGATGCCAAAATTCAGGAACACAATTAACATTTGCCTTACCTGGGGCCCTGACAGGGGACATGGCTTGTTTGTTTGTCATCATGGCATGTGGCTTGATTTTCCAGTGTGGCACATGGTAGCCTAAATTAGATTTTCAAATATTAGCTAATTGTTTTTTAGCTCAACTTTGTGTAATATTTCATTATCTAAACCACCAAAAATGTTTTACTTAATTAAATTTTACTTGTCACTAAACATTTGATAACAGTAGAGAATTTAGCTAAACTGGTTGCGTTTGAATAAAGTTTAAACTAGTCTATTAGGTAAAAAAGTCATGTGAAATGTTCTATCAATAACACATTCATATCAATGAAACAGCAAGGATAATGTCAGCTCTATGACAGGACCTACCCATATCAATGAAACAGCATGAATAATGTCAGCTCTATGGTAGGACCTACCCATATCAATGAAACAGTATGGATAATGTCAACTCTATTAGGACCTACCCATATCAATGAAACAGCATGGATAATGTCAACTCTATTAGGACCTACCCATATCAATGAAACAGTATGGATAATGTCAGCTCTATTAGGACCTACCCATATCAATGAAACAGTATGGATAATGTCAACTCTATTAGGACCTACCCATATCAATGAAACAGCATGGATAATGTCAGCTCTATGACAGGACCTACCCATATCAATGAAACAGTATGGATAATGTCAACTCTATTAGGACCTACCCATATCAATGAAACAGCAAGGATAATGTCAGCTCTATTAGGACCTACCCATATCAACGAACAGCACGGATAATGTCAGCTCTATTAGGACCTACCCATATCAACGAACAGCACGGATAATGTCAGCTCTATTAGGACCTACCCATATCAATGAAGTGGATAACATGGCCAATGTCTGAAGCTCTATCGCTGTTATGGCCGACATCAAAATACAAATCCATTTCTATCACCTGGACGTCACCAACATCACTGAACCCAATCTGGAAATGTCAGACCAATAAATCTCTAAAGATAATAATCAATTAAATTAAATTTTAAAAAATGGCTGGTTGCATTGATGTAAATTGATGATTACAATTCTTTAATAAATATATAATGTTACGGTTTAGATGGTCAGTAATGGAGTTGAGTTACCATACCTTGTACTTTGACAACAAAGGAGCTCTCTTGCCAAGAAGTCTCATATTAGTTGACAGATCTAGGGACATTCTCACTGGTCTGAAAAATAATTTTTTTTTTAACTATACAATTGTGAAATGTACAATGCTGGTTTATTTCTATAAAAAACAATGAAAATCTACATTTTTTATTTTAATTATAAAATATAAAATATTTAATTTATTAACTATTAATTGTGAAAATATTGTATTCCAACTGTAAAATATGAAATCAAAACACTCCATTATTTTTTAATATGATATATTAACATTTTATTGCAATGTGTCCAGTAAAACATTTTGAAGAAAGTTAGTACTTAACTTAAAAAAAAACAAATCAACAGAGGTTAATAAAAGTTTAGCATAAATATGTGCAACAAATGCCCAAATATCAGGCACACACCTGCCAGATAAGAAAGCTCCAAGTGTAACAGCAGTTGACACAGCACAAGAATCCCAGGCCTTGCCACCAAACCCTCCACCAACCCTTGGTACAGTCACATTTATGCTGTGGAAAAAATGTTTTTAAAAAGGCTTTCTTCGGCTTTTATACAGATATTTCTTTAAATTGTGTGTACATTTTAATAAAAAATAAGAAATGTGAATAAATTTGGTAGCATGGAAGACAACAAAGATGTCTGCTCACTGGAAGCGTAAATAAAATAATAAAATTACTAATGAGAGTTTAATAAACTGACAAGTTCACTGGCCTTCCAATTATAAAATTACTAATGAGAGTTAAATAACTCACAAGGTCATTGGCCTTCCAATAATAAAATTACTAATGAGAGTTCAGAAACTCACAAGTTCATTGGTTTTCCAATGATATCAGCAGCAGCATGTTGGCTCATATCAGCATATTGTGTAGAACAGTACAGGTCTATACCATCTTCAGATGGGACCCCTAATGACACCTGGAAGATCAATATTTATACAAGACTTGTAGATTACATTTTGTGTTATAATACACTGTGAAACTTTGAGTCTAATGCTGATGCTACTTGATTTTTTTCAGCGCTCTTCACTGTCAATTAAACAATGGCTGAACCAACCAAAAAACCACACAATCTCACTGACCTATATTGTACTTGTTAATTGCTCAAAGTTTTATATTTTTTGACAGCTCCACTTCTCAGTCCTAATTAAAACCTAATTAAAAAACTTACCCTCTAATTAACCCTACAATAAAACCTGCTGACCTGAGTCTCCAGGTAAAAGTGGTACTGTGAGCCCATTCTGCATTCACCTTCAACAGTTTTGTCCACAGTTGACCAGGTTTCTTAAGACACAGAACACAAAATAGATAATAAGAAGCTTTCTATAATAACATTCATTAACATCTAGATCTAACGAGTTAGAGAACCTAACCATCTCTAGATCTAACAAGTTAGAGAACCTAACTAACTGAGTTCATTTACATTTAGATCTAACAAGTTAGAGAACCCTACCATCTCTAGATCTAACAAGTTAGAGAACCCTACCATCTCTAGATCTAACAAGTTAGAGAACCTAACTAACTGAGTTCATTTACATTTAGATCTAACAAGTTAGAGAACCCTACCATCTCTAGATCTAACAAGTTAGAGAACCTAACTAACTGAGTTCATTTACATTTAGATCTAACAAGTTAGAGAACCCTACCATCTCTAGATCTAACAAGTTAGAGAACCTAACTAACTGAGTTTATTTACATTTAGATCTAACAAGTTAGAGAACCCTACCATCTCTAGATCTAACAAGTTAGAGAACCTAACTAACTGAGTTCATTTACATTTAGATCTAACAAGTTAGAGAACCCTACCATCTCTAGATCTAACAAGTTAGAGAACCTAACTAACTGAGTTCATTTACATCTAGATCTAACAAGTTAGAGAACCCTACCATCTCTAGATCTAACAAGTTAGATAACCTAACCAACTGAGTTAATTAACATCTAGATCTAACAAGTTAGAGAACCCTACTATCTCTAGATCTAACAAGTTAGAGAACCTAACCAACTGAGTTAATTAACATCTAGATCTAACAAGTTAGAGACACTCACCGTCAGGATTCCCAGCCACAAAGTCCTTCAAATCTGCAGAAAATTCTTTGCCTTGGGCTATACTTTCCTCTATACTTAAAACTGGTTTCTGGATGTTGGAGTAGGTAACCTTGACCTTCTTGACAGCAGCATTAGCTAGGCTTTGAGATTCTGTAACAGAGATCAATTGTAGTCAGTGTTACATTTGGGTGTAGACATGTAACAATACAGAAACACTTTACGCTGTTCAGAGATTTAGATAATGTATTCATGGGTACAATTCTGAACACATCCAAAATAGTATTAATAAAACAAAAATTTAAATAATTATGCACCATAGCATTATAAAACTGAACCTTTTTTTTAAATATGCTAACAGCTATCTAATAGCAAATGAAAATTGAAACTATATTTGATTACTGTTGGGCTTAACAAGGTATTACTTAAAAGGCAATTAGCAAACATAAAAATTTAAAAGGAGATTAGCAAACATAAAAATATTTTACCAGCTACAATCATTCCAAGGGCTTGACCACTGAAGGAGATATCTTTAGTAGCAAATACCTGATGGGTAGAAAAAAACAGTCCATTTGATCTTAAGAGTACATCTCTAATCTACTAGATGCATCATTAACACCGGGGAAAATATGACCACAATAAAGTGACACTACATCTCTACACAGTTTGATTAGATTTAAATGAGAAAAAAAGACTAAGTTAATTAAAAATGTAACAGTATCTCTAAAGCTCCTTATTTAGAGGACAGTTTGAGCCACAAATAAACATACATCGAAAAGAAAAATAGTTTTTCTGAAAGCTCCTTGTATATTTCTCACACACTGCCATATATAATTTATAAATTAAGTTATTTATATTTTTCTCAAATATTTCTTATCAAAGTTAATTATATTTTTTCTGAAAATATTTTATATGTACGTTGATTATATTTTTCTCCAATATTTCTTTATTTACATTAATCATATTTGTGGTATAAATATATAAATTAAACATATAAACAGATACATAAAAAACAAAACAAAATAATGTAATTCCCATTGTTTGTATTATATCTAAACTAACCTCTATAGGTGTGAAAGTAAAGATTCCACTAGGTAAATAATTGTTGGTTCCACCTTCAGGGATGTCTTTAGCTGAATAAAAACCCACAACTCCAGGCAGGCTCTGCTCAATCAGAAATATTTTTGTACAACAAACTTCACTAAAAAACTTTTCTAAAACATCATATCCAAAATATTATAGTAAGAGAAAAATGGCCCGTTGAGGAAGGATACAACGGGTGCTAGGTTGATAGTGCTGTCTATTTTCTCGGTACTTTAATTTATACAAAATATAGTCATAGGCATATCCCTAAACCATGCACCTGATCTCATTCATGAAAAAAGTTGCATTTAGAGTTTCTTGCAAGGCAACTCTACTTGGGAAAAGCGGGCTTCGCCCCCCCTCCCCCCCCCCCCCCCCCCCCCCAACACACACACACTCCAAAACATGTCTACCGTCCCATTCAACGAAATATAATTATATACTTTTTCCAGTGTCCGCCCCCTCCCAGAAAATTCTACCCCCGCCCCCGAAAATTTCAAGTACTCCCACCCCTCTCCGGGGAGGAAAAAGTCTGAAAGAAACAGTGATCGCATTTGTAGATCATACAAACTAAAGGAAGAATCTGGGCGGGGCTTCGCCCCTACCGGAAGAGATGCTTGAAGAAAAAAACTGCACGCTAAACACTTTTTAGATTAGAAAAAGTTCCCCCATCCGGGGCGGAAAAAGTCTGAAAGAAACACTGGTGTCGAGCTTAGCCACTACCCGAAGAATTGCATTAAAGAAATTGCAAGAAAACCACTTTTTAGATTAGACACATTAATTAGGCGGTAATTTTATTATAGAGTATCGATGAATAAATTTCTTTTGAGTTAGGGAGGGGGGGGGGGGGGGGGGGGGGGGCTCAGACGTTCTTACGCGGGGGTGGGGCTTCGCCCCTACCCGAAGAATTGTATGAATGAAACTCTTCACGCAAACCACTTAGATTAGACAAAATTGCATTTTTATTCAATGTTTACTCGAGAATCAATGACGTCATATTACTGTGTGCACTCTCCGGCTTGATATTATTTTCTACTCTATGACGTCATATTTCGCCAGCCGCTTTACTGTGAAAGTTTTTAATTTGCTTGTGTTTTCTCTAGAGCATTCTTGTCAGACAGATAGATAGATACATAGATAGATAGATAGATAGATAGATAGATAGATACATAGACAGACAGCGAAACTATTATTATAGACAACAAACTGCATAGAAAAACTTTTTTAATACAAAATAACTAAAATATTTAAGTACAACTAACAAAATAAAATATTACTAATACAATATTAGTTTATTAGTATTATTTCAGATTGGATACTCAATAGGGCAGATGAAGTAGAGTTCACCTGTTTCAGTTACTTCAGTATATGAATGGATAGTGTGGTTAGTTCTATGCATTGCCACTTTTACTTTCCCTAATTAAGTCAGGTACCCATTAGAGCTGGGTGAACTCAGGGACTTCTTACTGACTCATGTGTGGGAACTGACCTCAAACTTTTAGAATTGAGCAGATGTGCACTAATTCAATATTAAGTCAACAAAATAAATATTACTTCGTGTAAAACAAAATTATTAAAATGAAAATTTTTTTTTTAAATTAGCTGATGCCCTAATAAAACTATTTTGCTAACATATTCTAATAAAAAAAAAAAATAAAACCACATGCAACATTTTGAGCCAACTCACCAGAGCTTCAGTAGCATCAATAGATTCCAGTGTGGCAGGCCCATAGTCTGAGAGAACAAAGGCTGCACACAACTCATGCTGGTAGCTGGGGATGTCATTCACAAACATTGCCTCCCCTGATGCCTGAAACAGACATTTCAAATATAGATAAGTGTATGTCACAAACATTACCTCCCCTGACGCCTGAAACAGACATTTAAATAATATAAACCAGTGTCATTCATTAACATTGCCTCCCCTGATGCCTGAAACAGACATTTCAAATATAGATAAACCAGTGTAGGTCACAAACATTGCTTCCCCTGATGCCTGAAACAGACATTTTAAATATAGATAAACCAGTGTAGGTCACAAACATTGCTTCCCCTGATGCCTGAAACAGACATTTTAAATATAGATAAACCAGTGTATGTCACAAGCATTGCTTCCCCTGACGCCTGCAACAGTTGTTTAAATTATAAATAAATCAGTTTCAATGTGACCCATTTTATTGTGTTACAGCTTGCAAACTTTAAAAAATAATTGTTTGAAATAATTATATTTTTTTTTAAATTAATTTTTTACCTGCAATGGGGCTGTCAGCTTTGGCATAGCTTTTTTCAAAGGAAATTCAGTCTTCATTTCCTGATAAGTTTGTAGGCCTGAAGAAATGGGGCGATGTAGGTAGTCAGTTCCAGACCGTAGTTTTGGATTGGTTGTATTGTAGATACCAAGAAGTACCTGGTAATAAACAGATTAATTAATAATTAATTTGATTGATACACAGGTGTTTGTCACACGGATGAAATGTTTGCTTAATGTTATTCTAATCTCATGATTAATTAAGTTCTGCCTAATTTGTTGCTGTTGACTAATCATAAAAAAATAATGCAGATAAATTAAAACACCTTGTACAACAAGTTCCCTGACAACTCTTTTCTATATTTGGGGGATGCCAGGAGTGGGTCCAGCTCAGGGTCCAGTTCACTGGCCAAAACCTGAAGGGCCTCTGGTGGATGAGGAATTTAAAATTTTAAAAAATTATTTAAAGAACTAGTAGGCTATAGAAGGTTTTTTTTAACATCTTTAACATGTTTACTAGAACTAGAAAGGAATTAAAAAACAAATTTTCAATGCTTAATCAAATATATTAAAATGTCAACAAACAGCACTGTTACTAAGCTATAGATCTAGATGTTTGTTTATAACTAAATAAGAAGGGTACAAAAATGAAAACAGTAGTTTGTTTTGTTGAGAGTTATTTACCTTTAACAACATCATTTGAAAGTGTTTTATTTGTTAAAAAGTCTTCAGTTTTGACAGCATGCACCTGTGGATCACATTAAAAATTGGTGGCATAAAGAATAATAAACCTACTAAAAGTAATCAATGGTCATAGAATATATGTTTAGCGTTAGATTTTTTTGTTTCAACCCTATACCAGTCTGAAAATGAATCAACTATCCAGCTGGTCTGGATATTAATGGGTAAGGTTTTTAAAAAATCTCTTTAAGTGTGCTATTATGTTTAGAAATTATCTTATCAAATAAGTACTACTATATTTTCTAATTTCTAAGTAAAGAATTATTTTATAAAAAGTTTTTATGAATTCTTACAGTTTGAGCATTAATCCCTCCAAACACAAGAGATGGCCGTCCTTTAATGTCACGTCCTTCTGCAGGTATTCTAAAGGCAGCATTCACATAGGCATGTGCATTCTGGTGTTTGAAAACAACACATTTATTAATCAAGAAACAATACTTCACAATCCTCTAATTAAAACACTCAATTATATAACAAAACTTAACGATTCTCTAAGTTATTTATAAAGCTGACAAAACCAGGACAGACAGACCTGCCACCTGGGAGTGATCTTAAAAGACTTGAACACATTGCTTTCTGGTAACTGTGGCAACTCCACAGCCAACAAAACCTGGCCAGACATCTTCACACTTAAAAAGTCTACCAGAGAGTGCTTGCTGGTTTCCCCAGAGAGGGAATCTGTAAAGTAATCCACATATTAAAACAGTGGTATACTTCACACTAAAGTCTATTAGAGTGTGCTTGCTAGTTTCACTAGAGAGGGAATCTGTAAAGTAATCCTCAAATTAAAACAGTGGTATACTTCACACTAAAGTCTATCAGAGAGTGCTTGCTAGTTTCACTAGAGAGGGAATCTGTAGAGCAATCCACACATTAAAACAGTGGCATACTTCACACTTTTCTATCAGAGACTGTTTGCTAGTTTCCCCAGAGACCATCTGTATGATCAATCATTGCCAATGGGTAATATAATAATAGGCTATATATAAGGACAGAACAAGTGAAAATAATGTTAGCTAAATTTATGCACAATTTTATGCTAAATTTAACTGATATTTAGCCAGATTTAGAAAAATATCTAATTATTGCATTCCATGTGACAAGTATTTAGATTGTGACGGTGTGAGAGGGTCGTTAGTTAAATTATTTCTACTCCATGTTGACTTCTTTAATGCCAGACGGTCAAGACTTGTAGTAATGTAATGTGAGTATATTGGCTCCTACCATATATGTAGACTTGGGCCCCCAGACACTCAAACAGAGTGTAGATATCAGAGGGGAATTCTGGGTGGTTGTATTTGATCATCAAGTTCCCACCAACAGTACCAGCCTGTTAAACAGAAACAATGTAAGAAAATATAACAGCATATTTGGATAAGCAGTAAACTTTTTTTTTATTTTTTTGCTAGTGTAGAAACAAGTGTCAATCTGGCCCTATGCTCATTGGAGAGCCATAAGTAATATAAAGATAATATTAGCAATTAATTTTATTAGTGGCTAGATCATGAAATGATGATGCATGAAATATACTTAATCTTACTTAAATAAACAGTTCTATTGGTAATGATATTAAATAACTCAGAATTTACTGTTACAAGTATTCAGTTTCAGATGATTTTTTAATAGGTTTTTTTAGAGGTTGAAGCGAATCTAAGAATATTTTAGAGTACTCACATTCCTGACCATGACGTTAGCAATAAATTTGAAATGTCTATGCAGGGCTGTGAAGTACTTGTATCCAGGCAGGTCTTGGCTGGCTTTTAGTTTACTCATGAAACTGGTCAGACTTGTGGCTACACCAACTTTAAAACTCTCTCCCAGCTGAGGACCCATCAAGTGCTACTTGAATCATTTTTTTATACATTCTTACATTTGTATTAATTGTAAACAAAACTGGTACATTTATTTATAATTTTTAATTAGTGGACTTTGAGTGATAAAATATTGTCTAGCTAGCCCTGTCTTTAACTGGAAGTATTCAGCTAGCATTTGTTATATGGCTACCCCGGCCATTTAATGGAAGAGGGTGGTTGGGTGATTGAGCCTGAGTGATAGCCAGAAGGCCTGAGTTTGGATCTTTGTTTAAACTCAAGATTTAAGGACATCCCTGAGTCCACACAGTTCCATTGGGTACCTGACTTTGGTTACTATTACCCCAGAAAAATGGGTTGACCAAAATTAAATCCTACCAATACAGCAACTGAACAATTCAACTTATCCAAAACTAAATTTCAGCACATAATATTTAAGATTCAACTGTAATTTATAATTTCCATATGTTCTCCATTAAAACTAGCGTAACTCTTTATTAACTCACCTCTATGGTATAGAGTTCAGTCACTCTGTGTAAATCTACATACACATCAAAAGGCCCTTCTTGCTTAAAGATTCCTTTAATAGAAGATAAAACAAATTTTACTAAGAATTTAGATATGGCAAAATCAAGAAGATAATTAGCTTCAAATGTTGAACATAATCAAGAAGATAATTAGCTTTAAATGTTGAAACAATTAAAATACCTGCAGCTGTGTTGCCCAGCAACAGTTTCACTTTTTTCTCTGCATTCAGTTTAAGAATTGACCCAAGTTCAGTCAGTGATGTTGGTCTACAAATATAAACAATAAGTTGTGTAGCGAAGTGGAGTCATAACATGTGTGATCCTATTCATTGATTTATACTCATGTTTTAAAACTTAAAAAAAAAAATTAACAATTAACCATCATTACCTGTACCACTTGACTCCACTGACATCTATATCCAAACATCTGTCTCCTCCCTTGTTGCCATGACTACCAGTACACACCTCTCCAGTTTTTGGGCACAGCTTTTTGTTCAGGTCCTATAAAAAATGTGCCATATGGTTAAAATAGCTAACAACACATCCAGTTACAATAATTATTAATTAATTATTTTTTTGAAATATCTAAACTCTACTTCAGAGAAGAGAAAGGTTAATTTTTTGAAAATGTTATTTTGTGTAAATAATATGGGCCAAAATAAAAATGGAAGGATTCTAAAATATTCATAGCATAAAAAGTTTACCTCAATATCAATGGGTTTAGCTTGAGGTATGCTACCATCAGAGGCAAAAGATTTCATAGCATCTAAGATGGGCCTGTACCCAGTGCATCGACACATGTTGCCATCAAAGTTGTCCTCGATTTCCTGGGCTGAGATGGTGGGGTTTTGGTGCAAGAGGCTGTGGGGGTGGGGGAGGGGTCAAATCAATGGTCAAGTTCACTCTGTTGGAATTATCTCTGGAAGGGTTACTTTATAATTTAAGTGCAAACATTGTTTGTACTTAACTAGCTGACTTACCCATACATGTTCATCACCATACCAGGTGTACAATAGCCGCACTGTGTACCATTGAATTCAGCAACCCTCTTCTGGATGGGATGAAACCCAGACTTCTGACCTCCAATACCTTCCACTGTGCTGACCTGCCAACCATCCACTGTATATAGGGGAGTCAGGCACTGAAATTACAAGAAAAAATTGGAGGGCCTATATGGAAAGTTCATAAGAGTAATGGTAAAATAAAGCTCTGCTAGACTGTATTTTTTTAATCACTTGCCAACTATGACTTTTCCAATAAATAGGGGTGTTTTACAGTTAGTAATCAAGCAGTATTTGAGTTATGGTTGGTGCTGAAGTTTAAAAGTGAAGTTTTTGTGACACTTTGTAGTTTAGCCAACTGCTAGCAGTACAACACAACCCTTATTTAAGTAGTTAGCCTAACACCATGGACATAGCAGTGGTTCTTAACCTTTTTGGAGGTACCGAACCCCACCAGTTTCATTTGCACATTCACCGAGCCCTTCTTAATAGTTCTATCTTCTGCAATGACTAAACAAAACCCTTGAGGTTCAATCAAACCCAGGTTAAGAACCACTGGTCTACAGTCATTCTGGGAACTTAAGCTAGTTTCTCCAACTAGTCTTGTGTGATCCGTCACTGGGGCCCCTTCAGATTTCACCATCATACAGCAGTACAAAAACTAAACTACCCTAACACTAAAAGACGTGGCTGGAGGTGTGTACTCACTGACTGAACGCTGTAGGTCTCAAGCTTGTCTGTGCCAGGCTTTAAGTGGGTCACAGCCACAGCGCAGCAGCCACAGCCAGCCTCCCGACACATGACCTTGGTGCCCTTTAACCCTGCCACTTCCCTGAGGTAGTCATTGAGTGAGGTGGACACAGCAAATGTGTTGGGGACTGTTGAGAAGATCAAGTTAGAAATGGCATTTATTCTAAGCCCTTCCAATAGGAATAGGAAGACAATCATTTTTTTTTAAAATTAGGCTGTATAACTCTCTCTTGTAAGAGTTTAAGTTTGTAATGCCTTTAAAAAAAAGATACCTTTCTGCTCTTCTCCATTGATATAAAACACAATGTCACTTGCTCTGAAACAAAATAAAAACAATGAAGAACTCTTTTATAATAAAGTAATAATTTTCTAAGAAATGGGCAAATTAGTCCATTTTGAAACACCCAACACACACCAGCACCTCCCCCTCCCTCCCACCCCACCTGACCATCCCCTCCCCTTCAACCAGGACATACCCATGCATGTAACAACAAGGTGTATGTCTAGGGCCACATTATACTCTTTAGCCTCTACCCCAACATCATGTTATATTACAGGCCTCGCTATTCTATTCTATACTATATCTATAGGGTATTGTATTTTAGTAGCCTGTTAAGATAGGTTAGTTTAAATCATTTATATTAATTCAGTATGGTAGGCTTATATTAAAGGGCTAACTAGATAGTGTATGGCGTTATTTTATTCAATATTATATTACATTTTGATATTTTAGTATAGCTTATGCCTAATTCAGCAATTGTATACTATAGTTATTTAACTATTAGTACTAGTAGTATATAGTGATAGTTTAAGTAGGCTTATATATAAGAGGCCTATATAGACCAGTGGGTTATAGGCATTACTTACCATAGCCTAAGTTATTCATGTGTAGGCAGAATTATGTAACTGAACTAATCTAATAACTACTGATAATAAAATGAAAACTGTAACAACTAACAATACCAATAACTTAACAACAGCACATATTGACATAGGCCTAATTGTCAATTAACTCATTGTTAATTAATATAGACAAATTGTAATAGCTAGATAGTCTACAGACTATAGAGTTTTATAGAGGGCCTTGCTTCTATGCTGTAAATATATACTATAGACTCAAGCAGTTTAATATTAATAGGCCTATAAATCAGAGGTGTCGCAGGGCGGGGGGGGGGGGGGGTGTGGGCGGGGTGAGGACCGCACCAGGTCCACACCATTTTGGGGGGTGACACCAAGACAAAAAAAAATTGCAAGATATATCTAATAAATATGTTTTTTGCCTTGCCAGTCCAATGAATGGTTAATTAGAGTTAAAAAGAACTTTTAAGTACACAATCACAACAAGGGAGGGGTGGGTGACGTAAACATGCAATCTATAGAGAAAAAAAATGCTACGCCCATCTGTATTAACTAACGAATATAGATAAACATGAGTATTAAATGTGAACACTTTAAAGCTTTTAAACTGCAAAATTTACAGAGAAAAATAAGAGGGGGGGGGTTGACACAATGTGCCGCACCGGGTGATACCCGACCTAGTGAGACCACTGCTATATATATAGGCTATATAGGCTACAGTATTAGTATTACTAACTAGCTCAGAGGCGTAGCTAGGGCGGGGCGAGAGGGGGGGGGGGGGTGCGGACCTCACCAGGTGACACCATTTGGGGGGGGGGGGGGGTGACACCAATGTAAAAGTAGCAGAATATATATAGAAAATAAAAGATCCTTCCGTTTAAATTAATGATTAATTTTAATTGAATTGTATTTTAAGAGCAAATTTGATAAATCCCGATAAGGGTGTGGGGGGGGGGGGGGGGGGAACCATGTAGTGAACTTGCTAACTATAGAGAAAACATTGCTACATCCAGCTGTGTTAATAACAGACTACAAATAAACATCCTTACTATTATTATCCTTGCAAAGTGTAGACCTCTCAAAGGACAAGGGGGGGGGGGGGGGGGGTGACACCAATGTTCACATCTAGATTCTAGATCTAGAATTCTAGATCGAGGACACTAGCTGCTGCACGGGGTGACACCCGACCTAGCAACGTCACTGAACTAAATCTGTGTACGTGTGTAACAGTAGCGTACGCAGGGGGGGAGCATTTTCAGCAAAGTGGCGCCTTTTTGGAAACTTTTTAAACTCAAAGTTTTAAACAATATTTGTTAAAAAAATATTTTTGGTCGGCACATCTAAGTAAATCACAAGATTTCTTTTTACACGCAGCAATTAAGCATAAATGTACTAGTCTAGTAGTGTCTACGTTTACAACACGTATTAACAGCTGCATCAGTTTGCCATTCTAAAAATAACCATTACGATGCATTGCAATGTTTAAAAAACCTCTACGGTAGTACCACTTGGCAAGAGGGGTGTTACGTTTAAGGCAACTGTATAATGTATTTGCTTACGAATAATTTAATTAGAAAATGTTATACATAAAACTTCACACATAATTACTTTATATATACAGTTTGAATCGTGTGATTAATTAAAAAAAATTACAATACAGAAACAAATACAACTGATGTGGCATCTCTATTTAAATTTACTTATAAGCAAACTGTGTAGTGGTGGGGAAATTTTGACAAGTAGTAGTGATTACGATTACAAATTATATGAAACAGTTACAAACCCCCTCCCGTTACAAACCCCCTCCCCATGTACCCCTATGTAAAAAAAAATATTGTCATAATACTACTGCTACTTATTTAAATCTATTTCTGTAATATATATTTGTGTAATATATATTTGTGTAATATATATGTATGTTTAGAACAGTCATCTAAAAACTGACGCTATGTTCACTCTGAGTTGGTTATCCCCCCCCCCCCCCCACACACACCTCACCACCACAATTGTGTAGAGCGACATTAATGTCACACCTAGGTATACACTGGGTTGGAAAATTGACCTAAAGTGAACGGACAGTGGTGAATGAAGTTGAACCCACCCCCCTCCAACCCACCCCGAACTGATCTGTTAAGTACATGTAGAAAAACGCGTAATGATGTACCAAAGTACCATGCCGCCAGAAAATTAGTTTTTTAAACGTAAAACTCTGTGAATATTGTTTTTGCAATTACCAGTAAAAAGGTGTGTGATCAATACAGTGATCTAACCCATACCTATCACTATGTTAAAAAATTATCTTTAAAGAACACAAAAAAGCAGTAGTTAATTAAAAAATATGATATTAACTAAAAGACCAATATTTAGTCAAGCGTAGGCTGTTATTCCGAATGTTTTTTTAATATACCGAAAAGCGTGGTTTTATACCAACTCTGATTTTAAAAACTTTCATTATGCTGCGATACCTTAGCATTTATGATGACAATATATTAAATTCTGATTATAGACAAAAACATTTTGTAAACACGAATAGTGTTAAACAATTTCATTATATTCTAAAGTCATTATTTATTTGTTTTGACATTTATAATTAAATGTGTAGATATATACATATTTATATTAGGAGAGTGATTATTTCCCCTATTTCACTTGTCTTTTAAATAATTTCACAGGAATTATTATGTAAGACATTTTTTTACAAGAATTACAAAACAGATTGTGTTACGTTCATCGTTTTTGGTTGTAGTGTATATATATATATATATACATATATATATATATATATATACATATATATATATATATATATATATACATATATATATACATATATATATACATATATATATATATATATATATATATATATATACATATATATATACATATATATATATATATATATATATATATATATATATATATATATATATATATATATATATATATATATATATATATATATATATATATATATATATATATATATATATATATATATATATATATATATATATATAAATATACATATTTTGTTTAGATTGATACAATTTTTTGTTTTGTCGGCCTACATTGTGTGTTTTTTCTTATTTCTTCAGAGTGCTACTTTCAATTTTTTTTACATCATAGCGAAGTAATGACATACAGCTAGTATATATATATATATATATATATATATATATATATATATATATATATATATATATATATATATATATATATATATATATATATATATATATATATATATATATATATATATATATAATACACGCATATAGAAACGTGTTAAAAATTCGGCGCCTTTTTTTTGCTCTTTTCGCTCCCCCTACAACGAAAACCTGGATACGCCTCTGGTGTGTAATTATGTTACTATTATTAATATTAAGTTATTAACTACAGCAGACCGAAGTATTTTAGTGTTAACACAGCAGCCTACATCATACAAAAACGTAAACATTAAAAAAAAAAGTAAAAACAAAAACGCAAGAAGTGAGAGCCTAACTCAAATATCATCAACTAATCATAGACTTGCATATAGATCTAGATCTAGATCTAATTAAACAAGAGTAGGCCTATTTTCCCATTGTATTATTGTAACGATAATCATGTAATGTAGATCTAGGACCTAGGTCTACAATACGTCAATACTAATACTAGTCAATAGCATAATAATCTGGATCTAAGATTCTAATCTAGAGTAAGTCTACATCTTACTTTGCAGAAGCCATATGATATTATTCAAGCAGTCGACAGCAGTCTGAGGACAGGTCAAAATCTAGATCTAAAAATGTCACTAGATAGATCTAGATCGAATCCTTTTTGCAGTCTAGAAGTAGAAATCCAACTCGATCAAACGACCCGTGCTTATCAGGTTCAAGGTTCTTGTTATACAACAAGCAGTCGTTTAAAGTTTAAACGCGTTCGTTCTTTGGTCCAGATATGCACGTTTATTTTTATTAGGCCCACAGCTTAAAAAGTTGTGCTGTTTATAAAGTAATTCTTTTATTGAAAACTTCGGTGCTTCGTAACGCGAGCTTAATAATAATAATATGTCTACAATACACAAGGCCTAGATCGATCATTTAACGGTTTTAACCTCAGCCTAGGCCCAGCAGCCAACTGTTATGTCAATAAATCGGGTAGTGTTGCGGTAGATAACTTTGAGTAAGAGAATCCAGTTTTTAAAAAACCGTCGACGTATAGTTATTCAAACACAAAACGCAGAGATCCAGAACTTTTTAAAGGTCATTGAACAAGATGGGAAGGGGCGAGCAGCATTGTCGCGTTAATGTAGCTAACAATGGTGCCCTGTCAAAACGGCCCGGGACAAATCGGCCCCGTCAAAACGGCCCCGTTAATACGACCCCGTCAAATCGACTCCCGACAAACCGACCCCGTCAAAATAGCCCCGTCAAAAGGGCCCCGACTTATTGGCTCCCGTCAAATGGGCTCCCGTCATATTGACTTGCGACATATAGGCTCCCGACAAATGGGCTCCCGATATTTAGTCTCCCGACAAATGGACTCCCGACATATTAACCCCTGACAAATAGGCTCAGGACATATTGGCTCCCGACAAAGCGGCTCCCGACATATTGGCTCCCGACATAAGGGCTCAAGACAAATGGGCTCCCGGCAAATGGGCTCACGACATTTTGGCTCCCGGCAATTGGGCTCGCGACATATTGGCTTTTGACAAAATGACTCCCGACATATTGGCTCCAGAAAAATGAATGATATGACCACTATTGGCATAAAAGTAACCATTGTGTCCTACCTCCAATACCACCATAACCTCTTTTTAATGCCCGAATGAAATTATTTTTTTCATGAACCAACATTAATTCACAAACAAATCGAGCCCTTAACAGCTAAATTCCACCAATTCTAAAGTTTTGATAATGTTTACAACAGAAAAGATCTGTTGCTTAAAAGCGAGCACAGAAGTGTAAATGTATGATATACATGATGTTAACATGATAACAGCATTTTGTTTTGATAACCTACAAGCACAGTGGCGTAGCGAGGTCGGGTGTCACCCGGTGCGGCACTTAATGGTGTCATCCCCCCCCCCCCAGAGGCGTTGCGACCCTTCCCGGGGACAAACTTTCAAGTTTTCGATTTGCACCCCCCCCCCCAAACTTTAGATTTGCACCCCCCCCCCCTCAACTTTTTCTCTATATATTTTGCTATTTTTTGCCTTGGTGTCACCCCCCTAAATGGTGTCACCCGTTGCGGTCCGCACCCCCCCCCCCCCCCCGCCTCGCCTTCGCTACGCCTCTGCGTTAGGCTACAGAGGAGTTAAACGAAGAGATCAACTTCTACTTACGATGGATATTTTTTAATATATAAATATTCTGAAGGCAACATTTTGTATTTTATATGTCCTGATTATGTATTTATACTATATTATTATGATTGCCTACTACTGCTAAAAAGTTTATTTATAGGCTGATTCTATCAATGTCTTGCACGACAAAGTGATGTCGCCTGCAGTGTTATTATAACGATTGGGCTCTGTTTGACCCACAAACACTGAATCCCACTGCCGAAACGGTGGGGGGGGGGGGCTTTTTGGAACTTTTAACCTTTTTCTTTTTTAAAATTATTTATATGTAACAAATATTAAAATTCCATTGTAAAAGTTTTAATTTTTTATGAGGGAAAAGGGCCCCTATGTGCCTTGGGCCCCCATGCCTTGCTTACGCTAGCTTTACGGTAGCTACGCCACTGTGTCAGTGGTCCTTTTGTCTGGAGCCAAATTGACAGGAGCCTTTTTGTCGGGAGCCAAAATGACGCTAGCCTATTTGTCGGGAGTCGTAATGACGGGGGCCGTTTTGTGGAGAAACTAAATGGCGGGAGCCTATTTGTCGGGAGTCGTAATGACGGGGGCCGTTTTGTGGAAAAAACTAAATGACGGGAGACTATATGTCGGGAGCCAAAATGACGGGAGCCTATTTGTCAGGAGCCTTATTGACTGGAGCCCTTTTGTCGGGAGCCTATATAACGGGAGCCTATTTGTCGGTAGCCTAAATGACGGGAGCCTATTTGTCGGGAGTCTATATGACGGGGTCCATATGTCGCTGGCCTTTTTGACGGGGCCGATTTGACGGGGGTCGTTTTGACGGGGTCGTTTTGTCGGGGTCGTTTTGACGGGGCCGTTTCGTCATTGGCCGAATTGACGCCGCACGGCTACATTTGATGCGGCTCATCCTAGCGGTGAAGTGACTGTAGGGCTACCACATGTTGCTGCACAATGACCAACGTACCACGCTAAATTAAATGAGACGACAACAGGTCGATATATTGGGATATAATAAAGCGCATAGGTTTTAATTAATTTATCCACTTATGGCGTCAACATGGAGGAGGGGGGGGGGAGGTCCGATAAAAAAAATTGGACTCGTGGGGGGGGGGGGGGGGGGGAGGGGGATCGGGTCCATGTGGATGTATACAGTGGCGTAGCGAGGTCGGGTGTCACCCGGTGCGGCACTTAATGGTGTCACCCCCCCCCCCAGAGGCGTAGCGACTCCTCCCGGGGACAAACTTTCAAAATTTCGATTTGCACCCCCCCCTCAAACTTTCGATTTGCCCCTCCCCCCCTCAAACTTTCGATTTGCACCCCCCCCCCTCAAGTTTTTCTCAATATATTTTGCTATTTTTTGCCTTGGTGTCACCCCCTTAAATGGTGTCACCCGGTGAGGTCCGCACCCCACGCCCCCCCCCCCCCTCGCTACGCCCCTGGATGTATACAAAGTTAATTTGAGAATCCTTACCTTCTGCCTAGGCCTACAGCTAAATCAAAATATGTAATGCGTTTGTTATGATCGGGTTTAAAAGTGAGAATGAAAAAAAAACCAGCTCAGATAAATCATGCTGGTATATATATTATAGTCTATAGGCCTATCTATTTATTGGACGAATTAGAATGCTAGGTCAGGGGTCGGCAACCTTTTCAGACAGAAGAGCCAAAAGTTACAATTTACAAAATTTCCAAGCTTTTAAAGAGCCACTAACATTTTTATTTTAATATTATGATCTTTGATTAGGATTAGGTATATATATATATATATATATATATATATATATATATATATATATATATATATATATATATATATATGTATATATATATATATATATATACATCAATGTATGTAGTACAGTGGCGTAGCCAGGATCGTCTCAAGGGGGGGGTTCCAATTTTTACCCGGGGACAAACTTTCGATTTGCACCCCCCCCCTCAAACTTTCGATTTGCACCCCCCCTCAAACTTTCGATTTGCACCCCCCCCTCAAACTTTCGATTTGCACCCCCCCCCCCCTCAAACTTTCGATTTGCACCCCCCCCCTCAAACTTTCGATTTGCACCCCCCCTCAAACTTTCGATTTGCACCCCCCCTCAAACTTTCGATTTGCACCCCCCCCCCCTCAAACTTTCGATTTGCACCCCCCCCCTCAAACTTTCGATTTGCACCCCCCCCCCCCCTCAAACTTTCGATTTGCACCCCCCCTCATACTTTTTATATATACCGAGGGGTCTATGGGGGGGGTTATGACCCCCCCTAACCCCCCCCTGCCTACGCCACTGATGTAGTATGTAAGTGTGTGTGTGTGTGTGTGTGTCTGTTTGTCTTTTATTCATTACTATACATTTCATCATCCGGTCGTCATGAAACTTTAGGAAGCTGTTGAGAATACTCATGGGGAGATATTTGCGAAATTAAATGTCAAATTCGAGTGTTTAATGTTTATATTTATTATTATATCGTTCATTACCGAGTATTGCAGTCTTGGCTTTTCTAGTGACTCCAAAATGGTAAGCACTTCAAATTAAAATTAATGTTGATTAGACTTAAGAGATGTAAGGTTATTATTGAATTAAAATATATTAAATTTAATGTAACAACAAAAAAAAAATTTAAAAAAATAATCTATCTATCTATATATATAATTCTCTTCTGGGAGACTTTAGAAAACAAGCTGCAAGCTCGCCTTGCAGTCCCCTCTCTTCCTCTCTATCACTACCACCCCCCACCCCCCACATGGTCTGGTGAGTTGTGGTCACGCTAATGTTTATAAACATAGAGCCGGGTTTAGTGACGGCTATTAGGGGCAGATAATTTAGTTTGAAACGATTTTAAACTTAGAGGAGGTAACTAAGAGGAGGCTGCTTTCACCGGGGGGGGGGGGGTGTAGGGTAGGGTTTGGGGGAAGGGGGGGTTAGTGTTTTAAAGCAAATATTTTCAGTGCAGCATTGGTACTGTCGAATTCACAAATTATGAATTACTGAGAAGTAGAAAATAAAACAACAAAATAGCGGCGTATGATACGCCGCGGGTCGGCTCGTATATAAAATTCTCTTCTGGGAGCCGTTAGAAAACAAGCTGCAAGCGCCTCCTTGCAGTCCCCTCTCTATCACTATCACTACCACCCCCCACCCCACCCCCACATTGTCTGGTGAGCTGTGGTCACGCTGTTTACATTTTACAATCATAGAGACGGGTTTGGTGACGGCTATTAGGGGCAGATAATTTAGTTTGAAACGATTTTAAACTTAGAGGAGGTAACTAAGAGGAGGCTGCTTTCACGTGGGGTGGGGGGGGGGGGGAAGGGGGGGTTTAGTGTTTTTAAGCAAATATTTTCAGTGGCAGCATTGGTACTGTCGAATTCACATATTATAAATTACCGAAAAGTAGAAAAAAATAACTAAATAGCGGCGTATGATACGCAGCGGGTCGGCTCGTTATTATTATTTGTGCATGGAGCTGAAGAGCCGCACCTCGAAATCAAAAGAGCCGCATGCGGCTCGCGAGCCGCAGGTTGCCGACCCCCTGTGCTAGGTCTAACTACAGGAAATAATAATTTAATACGTGTGTCTAAGTTTTTAAAAAGATATTATATTTAATAGGAATATATATATATATATATATATATATATATATATATATATAATATATATATATATATATATATATATATATATATATATATATATATATACATGAGGCCTATAACTCCCATTCCCCTACCCCTCACCTGCTTACGCCACTGCAGGTCTGTATGACTTATGGGTAACAATGTTCTCTCACCCCCCCCCCCCCCCTCCGCGTTCCTAACGAGTGGCTATATGAGTGTTCTATATGAAGAGCTCTATTGTGATCTGCCTTGTCGAACATCTGGTATCGAAACATCCATATGACACAATTGTTTACTGTTGATATGACACGTGTCTACACACCCCTCTTTGTGCTCGTGTGTGTGTTTGTGTGTGTGTTTGTGTGTGTTGCACAAAGTCACTGGCGTCCCCTAGGTCGGGTGTCATTTCTGCATATTTTGCAATTTTTTTTTTGCCTCGGTGTCACCCCCTTAAATGGTGTCACCCGGTGCGGTCCGCACCCCCGACCCGCCCTCGCTACGCCTCTGTCAGCACATTTCTCTCTGCGGTCGTGTGAAGTGTCAGAGTTCAGCACACATTTGTAACTGTGTACTCAGTGTGTACCTACTATAATAACAGACATTACTCATTATGTACACAATAACAGACAGTATTCCGCGTGCACACAATTACAGACATTATGTATGACAATAGATGGGGTGATGGGGGCGGGGGGGGGGGTACAAATCGTCACGACGCCTATAAATACTATAACTTCAGTAAACGTTCAACCGACCAACTGAACTATGTAACACGGTTTATAGGCCTTGGGTCTTCAATCTTATCTTTTTAAATATAAAAAATGGTTAAAGTATTTGAAGTAGGCTGTTACAGGTATCTTAGCCGCTATCGATAGGTTAGTGGGATATGGGTGGGATAGTGGGATAAGGGTCGGTTGGCAAGGGCGAGGCAAGACCGACACTGAACATTGGCAACATGATAAACAAGTTCATGTTCACTCACACATCATCTTTTTTTCACGTTGTGCCCCAAGACACATGGGGGCAGATGAAGTAGAGTTCATCTGTTTCAGATGACCTCGGCATAAGACCATACTGATCAGTGATCAGCACTATGCACAGCCATCTTTATTTCTCCTAACGTGTTCTGGGTGGCAGTGGCGTAGGCAGGGGGGGGGGGGGGTAGGGGGGTCATAACCCCCCCCCCATAGACCCCTCGGTATATAGAAAAAAGTATGGGGGGGGGGGGTGAAAATCGAAAGCTTGAGGGGGGGGGGGTGCAAATCGAAAGTTTGGGGTGCAAATCGAAAGTTTGTCCCCGGGTAAAAATTGGAAAATCAGATAGCGACCAGCTCTCTAACTTGTTTTTTTTTTTAATTTAAAAAAAAAACTCAGTTTTTTGGGTGGTAGATCAGATATTGTCTAATGACAATATAATTTCAAGATGGTCGGATTACTCTTTGAACTACATTTCATTTACTCATACAATCCTCTTTTAACCTAGCGATCCATTGGGGAGCTGAAGGACAATTCATGTTCTTGAACCCGGTATATGATAATGAAGGGATGATGTGGTCAGCAGCTCGACCGCCTTTACTTTCCGCTGGTGGACTCAGGGACATTCTACAGTCACATGTCGGAACCGAGATCCGAACTCGAGACCTTCAAGTAGCAGCCAAGGCCACTACTTACCGACCATGCCGTCCCATATTTACTCAGACGTGAAAATTATACTATTATGAAGTTTTACTCGATGCAAAGAGCGACATGTATACCATAGAGGCCTATATGTCTAGAAAGAAAAAAACTCATAGCAGTTAATGTTCTATATTCTATGAAAACATTTTTACCATGGAACATGTGTACTAACTTGCTGCAAGTTTTATTTTTCTAGTCATGTATACCACATGTCGCAAGTGTAAACGCGATGGACATGAAGGATGCGTCATCGTCATGCTTGATATTCGATGTCCAAGTTTGTAAACTTGGGGCATCTAATTGTACTTTTCGACTACACGGTTGTCGCTAAAATTTTAATTGAAAACTAAAACATTTGGGCCTACAATTGATCTTAACAGCATACTCCACTTTATGGACACATGGATTTTAAGGCCCGTGGTTTTCTGTGGAGACATAGATCTAGATCGTAGTAGGCCTAGTACAGTTGTAGGCCTAGTTTTAGTCTGTTTTTTTAATACTATGATTTAAAGATAAAAGCTAGTTCTCATTTGCACCTCTAATGCAGGTGCTCATTATACTCATTACATTAACAGCCTCATTAGCAGCCATAATAAGGCTGGTGTTAGATCAGGGTTTCTTTCAGGCATATTCTCCGGGGAGGAGGGTGGTGGATGGGCTAAATCATTTCATGCCGGGGGGAGGGATGTGGCTCAGGAAAGATGCCTGAAAGAGATTGTTCTAGATGCTTATCTATTCGTTTTATCCAGCTGCTTATAAAACTTCTTGCTATCATTTTTTTTCTAGTGTTGAATTTTAGCTTTACCACCACTACCACCTACAAACTGTGAAAGTGTTTTATTGTAGGCTTCAGTAATATGAAGAGTAATAGGGCATATGCTCGATACACCCGTTATCATTAATAATATTTCTGTATTTAACTTTTTTCATTTATTTAACTCCCTCAACCAGAACTAATCATACTGCATTAGCAATACTAGTTTATATTCAAGACACGCGTGAAACCAATGAAGCATGACCACATTATAATAAATTATACTAGCATGTGTGGAACCGATCGAGTTGTAGTCTATGCATATTATGTGTAACATGCATCTAATTCAGTGGTTCTTAACCCGGGTTCGATCGAACCCCAAGGGTCAGTCTCAGGGGTTCGGCGGAGGTGAAGACACCTGATTCAAACGATTCACGATCATGTGATAGAACTATTAAGGGTTCGGTGAATGCGCACATGAAACTGGTTAGGTTCGGTCCAAAAATGTTAAGAACCACTGATCGAATTGAAGGACTATCAGCACTAGTTCACAAAACTGTAACAAATGAAGTTCTAAATATAGTAACCTATAGGTATGACAAAGCAATTTATTACGTACATTTATGCTATTGAAAACTACAGGAATTTACATATACTGTTTTATTTCTGAAGCACGACTACCCCTCTCCCCCCCCCCCCCGGAAGTTTCAAGTGCTTCACCTGTTTTAGTTAGTGACCTTCACTTTCCCTGAGTCAGCTGGATGGACAATGGATTATCAACCTGGGATTTGAACTTGAGACTTACAACATTAGCAGTCATTGCTCTACCATCCAACCACGCCGTCCCCCCCCCCCCATTGTCGCCCCACTCAAGACATTTCCAAACAGAGAACATGTTTAACTCTGTGGGGCTACAGCCCATGGGGTGGGGGCAGAGGCGTAGCGACGGGGGGCGGGGTACATATGTCCCCGGGCGCCGACCCTAGGGGCGCCAAAATAAACTCATTTTAGCTGCTATTTTGAATAGTAAATATAAAAATATATATAGGGGTGGGGGGCGCCAAATTGAAAGTTTGTCCCCGGGTGCAGGGAGGGGTCTCTACGCCTCTGGGTGGGGGTTGTCTTTGGTCAGCTTCAGAACTTTCCTCCAATCATACTTATCAGCTGATTTCTTCCAACGTGTTGTTGGTCTGTCTTCTCGTTATCTTTCCATCTGAACATGTCTGCCTGTTGGTCTTTACCTTTGGGGCTTTGGTTATTATAGGCTACATCACCTTCATCCTCTATGGTATGACATTCTTTCTAGTTCAAGCAGATCACAATGCTATTCTATGACTTCCTGACAAGACACACAACATCAATTACTACTGTGCAGACCACCCACATAACTAAACAGTTCACCACCTGACTAATCACACAACTAAACAGTTCACCACCTGACTAATCACACAACTAAACAATTCACCACTTGACTAATCACACAACTAAACAATTCACCACCTGACTAATCACACAACTAAACAATTCACCACTTGACTAATCACACAACTAAACAGTTCACCACCTGACTAATCACACAACTAAACATTTCACAACCTGACTAATCACACAACTAAGCAATTCCTAATCAAGGGACAAAATCCATAAAATTATAAAATTGCTATATAACAAAGTTTTTATTTTGTAAAATGTTATGTATAAAATTTTACAATTTTACAAAAAAAATTAGTGCAACAGATTATTTTACTAAGTAATATCAGTGTAATGTTATCTCCCTCCTCCTCCACACATACCAGTCATGCATGACTGAAAGTGATGTTTAAAAGATCAGGTCATCTGTGGTTAGCCCAACACTTTGCTGAATTCTCTCTACTGTGTAGGGTGCAACTGTGTGAACGATCAGTCATTTAATTCAATTATTCAATAAAATAAAATAATAATAATCCTAACTCACTCTATCCTCACCAGAAAACTGATAACAAAATATATGCTCGCTCTCATTTAAGCACCTAGTGCTAGCTCAACCCCCCCCCCCCCCCCACACACACACACACACACTGGGTCACTACATTATATTTTCCTAGTATTAATTGCTAAGCCAATGAATTAACAAAATAATTTTGATTTTAATTTTTATGTAGGTCCTATATTAATTTTATTTATTAATGATAAAAAGATGCATCCAATTAGCTGTCATATTCTGTATATTTGCCACTTAATTCAAATTTTGAGCTTACTGAAGCTGCAATGTTATACCATATACTTTTTTAATGATGAAGCAAACAAATGAGGTTTACCTGTAGGTTTATAAGAATCATCTTTGTGTAAGTCTTTACAGGCTGACCTGACAGCCAGCTTATTGGCCATCAACACTCCAACTGATAAGGAAATTGGGGACTCTCCCACATCTGAAGTTTAAATTAAATTGTGTTTACAAGTTTCTATTAATAGATTGAAAGTAGCCTACATTTAAGCAACAATGCAATATTTGAATCATATTTGAAATGTTTACAATAAATCTTACTTTTTGAGCTACAAACTCCAAAAGGATTTGAAACATCTGACATTAAATGAATTCTCCAGTCGATAGGAATATCTTTTGCAGATGGTGGCTTGTATTCCTATCAATATACACATTTATCTGGTGTTAAGTTTCAACGCAAAAGTAAAATTATCAATCATGATAAAAATAAACAATAAAAGATGTTTAGATGTAAGGTCCTTGTATGCACGTTTAAAGTAAAAAAATATACAAAAATAACCCATTATATTTTATTTAATTAACACACCCCAAGTTTAGTTCATATATTCAATAGTTCTGGGTAATCTAGCTACACCACATACATACAAATAATATCTAGTTAAATAACTTTGGTCTTCTTTATTTGACAAAAGAAATATATAAATAATAAATGCCTCTATTGAAGGTCTTCTAATTCTTGAGTTCGAATCATGGCTCTAAATCTGTAGGATCTAGCTGTAGGATGCATAACTAACAATAGACAAACCAAGGCAACTGGGCATAGTGCTGACCACACTATCCCTTCATATGCCAAGGACATTGAAAAACTCCACTTCATCTGCCCCATTTGTTTTGGGCGTCTAGGAAAAGATGATGGTTATAGGTCATTAGGGGAGATAGGGGAAGTGTGTTTATGAGCAAGGCTATAGTGCAAGCCATTACTCTATACTTTGGAACCAGAGTTCACTCCCTACCCACCCACTCTAAATCTTGATATGCCAGTTAGCCCCATATCCCCCACACCACATAATAAGACTGTGAGACAAACCTACCCAAGTGCTATCATTCAAGACCTTGCCAGTTTTTTCATCAAAGAGAATATCTTCAAACATGTAACTTCCAAGTCCCATCATGAACGCCCCTTCAATTTGTCCAATATCTAGAGCTGGATTCAGGCTAGAAAACATGAGCAGATAATAGCTGGTAACTTAAAAATCAAGACAGTCACACTCTTAGGGTATGGGATGGCCTACCGGTAGAGTGCTAGACTGCTAACCTGAAAGTATCGAGTTCAAATCTGGGTTCAGTTCAGTAGAATGTCCACCAAGCTCTGATGGGTACCTAACTCACATTTTGAAAAGTGATGGCAGCTAAGCATAATCCTATCCACTCTATCCCTTCATATGCCGAGGTCACAGAAATAGGTGAACTCTACTTCAATTGTCCAATGGACCATCAGATTCGAAAAGGTAACTTTACTTTTACTCCTAAGTTGAAGTTATCTGTTCTTCACTTGTAATTTAAGTTTATATTTTCTTTTGACCAGTATCATGTCCAGATTATGATGACTACCTTTCTCCATAGTCAGCAACAATGTCCACCCTCCTGATGCAAGACTGTCCAGTTAGAATGTCCACTTCTGTTTCAATGGCGGCTGCACTGTATGAGAAGTAGTTGAAGAAGGGTTTTCCAAGACCTTCAGAAAACCTGTGAACAATTTTTTAAAAATTAGTACAAGTGTACAGAGAGAGGTCAGATATGTGGTGCTTGACTGATAACCTTAAATCTATCAAAGGCTAAGTGAAAATACCTATTTTGTTCTTTTACATTTAGATATGCTTGGTAAAGGGGAGTAATAAATAAAAGGGGAAACAACTTACATATATCTTGCTGACAAATCTATCTTGTTGTGCAGGCATTTATCACACAGTTCTTTCCAAGTGGCGTTTGGAAATTTATTTCTCATTGGCTGCATCCTCTCCCTGAGAATTTTACTCGCTTCTATTGCTGCCTTAAAATTTTAAAAATTACCTCTATTCATTGGACCAGTCCTCGTTTATTTAGGAGAAACTGCTACATTCTAATTAATCTTAGATGGCTTTCTAAAAATAATTAGTAATGTTGAAAATTAAATTAAAAATAAAATATTTTTAAAAAAAATTAAATAGTAAAAGTGTAGTACTAACAAAAACAGCTGAGTCTGTGGCAATACTTGCAGCACTTATAGTACTATTAGGGGAGATAATGGTCTGATTGGGTCGCACTTTGATATTTTCTAAAGGCACTCCTAAAATATAAGCCACAGCTTGGGCCACCTGAAAACAATTGTATCAGATATCAGAAAAATCTGTAATCAACACAAGCAGTTATTTATGGTTGGGTGTGAAGGGGGTGTATTTATCAAGATACTAGACAACTAATTATCATAAAAAAATACTCAGGAGAATTCAAAATTAATTATTAGTGGGCGGTACTTAATCAAGATATTGCAATTACATGTTGTTTTAGATGTTTCCATTCTACGCAATTATATACTGCATACTTTGCAAGTATTTTCTGTTTATATTTCTGTTTATGTTTTAACAGATGATAGGTGTTATTATGAGAAAAATTACAGTCAGTAACAGTAAACTGTAGGAGATTTGAACAAACCTTGGTGTATAGTCCCTGACCCATCTCAACACCTCCTTGACTGACCGCTACTGAGCCATCTCCAGCAAATATTGACACAGTGGCGGGCAGTCCATGTCCAACATATGCCATGCCGTACTTGCATCCTGACATCGTGAGGCCTCGTTTTTTCCAAAGATTGTTCTGTCACAGGCAGAAAATTTACTACGCAAACTTAAAAGACAGAGCTGGTCAATAAATATTAAATGAAGCAAAAATAAAATTAATCTAAATTCTCAAAAATATAATATTTAAAATTTGATATAAAGATATGTTTCCATTTGAATTTTTTAAACATAGTATAAGTATTTTTTATTTTACATTAGCATTCTAGGTATATGATTGGTGTCAAATATAACAAAACAAATATATTTTTTATTATAATTATTTCAAATTTATTGCAAGACAGATTGTATATCACAAACTTGATTGAAAGATTCCATATCCTTCAGCCTTTGGTCAACTTCAGCCATTTCTTTCACCTGTGCCCAGACTTTACGCATCAGACAATGTTTCATCTCATGGCCTAGTTGGTCAAACTAAATGAAATGAATGAGTGCTCACTTTAGATACAGTAATTTAAATTTAGTTAATTAAATTAATATAATTACTTGACAAATAAGATTTTAAAGTTTCTTTAACTTTTTATGTGTCAGTCAAAAAGATGACTACATTATGGACATGTTTGTTTTCAAGTAGTTACTTTAATATGAGAATAATAATGCCAAACAATAGTGAATTAAAATGAAACATTAATTAGCTTAAGCTAGAGAAAGACTTTAACATTTACCAAAGAACACCTAAACTTAAACAGGAAGCTTTTGTTGATAAACATTTATTTCATTCTTAATTTTGTTTCTCTTTATCAGACTGAAGAGTAAGAATTTACACAAAAAGCTGATGTCTTAAAGCAGGGGTCTCCAAACTTTTCAGTCAGAGGGCCGCATTAACTATCAAATTTCAGTTCAGGGGCCAGTTTCTTCCAGGCATGTCTTTGATTTTTCTGGGCAAAGTTCCTCAGTCATCACCAACAAACGATTTTTCCTTGGACAAAAAGATCTCGGCGGGCCGGATGAGAGGACTTCGAGGGCCGCATCCGGCCCGCGGGCCGTAGTTTGGAGACCCCTGTCTTAAAGTTTAAACAAAAATACCTGGCCATTATCATAAAGATTCAACTCCTTGACAACAATAGGATGAATGTTCAGAGATGCAGCTACATGCTCCATTATGGTCTCAATAATGAGGGCACCTGGCACAGAGCCTACAATAACAAAGAACTAATAAAGCTAAGCCAAAACCTGGATTAATTTGAAAATTTATATATAAAATATTTATGTATCTCTAAGCTGAATTATTTAAACATAGATGTGTAGCATCTGTGTAGGGCAGTTTACACCGGCCTTGAGTCTGTCATAAATGTATTCCTGTCTTTCTTCAAACCAATCCGATGGACATGTCTGTCTTTAGCCCTGATCACAGTTTATGTAAGTAAAGTTAATTAATGTTCCCTTTGGAATCTGGTGATTTAATGTAAGTCTGCTTGTTAAATAATTTTACTGTCAATTGAAAATGCTTACCAGGTGCTCTAGCAGGGGCCATTGTTGGTTTGTTGGTAAACATCAGATGTGGCCGAACCTTCCAGTTTGGTACATGGTAGCCTTAAAATTGTTTTCAAATTGTTTATATAAGCCAAAAAATCTATTTGCTATTAAGTTTATGTTATTTTATTATCATTCACTGCTTATTTAAATTATCATACAAAGATATGCAAATAAAAAAAAATATAGCCTAACTTACCCATATCCATGTAGCGAAAGATTTTCATGGGACCAATAACATTGTTCATGCTATCTTTGTGCCCGCAGTCAATGTACAAGTCTACTTCGACCACCTGTAGCTCCCCTCTCTCACTGAACCCTGCCTGTGATGTAAATATTACATCAGTCAATAAGACCATGGTTAAACTAGCATGGTAAATCAAAGATGCTAATTTTTCTATTGAAACAATTTCATTTTCTTCTTCACTCTTAATTGTGATGTTGGACAGTATTTCCTCGAACACAATTAAGCATTATGAGTCAACTTGTAATGCGCCATATAGGCTGTTGACTCCAATTTTAGCCTGCTTTTCTTTTTGGATTTGCTTCCATTGTCTTTGTCCATCCAATAACAAACTATAAGACAGAAAGTTGTTTGATTTTGGAGTTTTCTCTCCTAGATGGGTTGCTGTCCTCAGCTATAGTGCCTCATCTGCATGGGGGTTTAAACTCTGGATGTTTGGTTTAGCGACCAAGAGTTTCACTGACCTGACCACGCTAACTCCATTTGAAGCTTGTCAAATTTTATATTAATGTTTTTTTTATTATTTACTTAAGTAAACCTTGGTCTAAAGTCCTTGCCCTTTCCTGACACCTCGTTTTGGATTAGATTCACTCTTAACAAATGATAAACACATCTTTCTTAAAGAAGAGGTAGCTGAGTTGAATAATTATAGTAATACCGAGAAATTTAGGGAAATACTACCATAAAACACTATGATGAGCTATGTGTTTCAAGAAATATATTGAGTAGCTTGATTGGTGATCTTTAACTACTAATCTGTTTGCTGGCTTAATGAGCAGTGTGATATAAAAAAAATATACCTTGTATTTAGCCAGCACTGGCGGCCTTTTGCCACTAATCTGCATGTCAGTGGATAGGTCTAGAGACATCCGCACTGGCCTGTTGGTGGATAAATAACATTTTTCACATCTTTCATACTCACATATTAATCGACAAAACAACGCTACAACATTAATTTTTGGAAAATTTATTACATTTCACACCAATAAAAATATTGCCACAAGAAGTAATATTTGGAAAGAAATGTAAACCACAAATACTTGAAATATAGCTAGATCTACATAGGGCAATTTTTTCTACAAAACCATGTTTTGACAATCTCATATCAAATAAGGAAATAATGCTATGAACCATATTTTTGTCAGCTGAGTCACTGAAGGGTGAATACACTAACCTACCTGCGAGTGAGGTAAGCCCCTAATGTAACAGCAGCTGTCACAACATTTGAGTTAAAGTTTTTGCCACCAAACCCACCCCCAATCAGTGGAACTGTCACATTGATGCTGCAAAATAATAGAAACACATTCATGATTTTTTGCTTATACATGAACAGTTATAGAGTAAAAATCATTCTAGAATTACCAAGTTTAAAATTAAGTTCTGTATTAATAAAAGGACTAAGCATAAAAATATTCAGCAATTTATTATAAAATTGAAATATTGAATGATCTAAACCAGGGGTCTCCAAACTACGGCCCGCGGGCCAGATGCGGCCCGCGAGGTCCTCTCATCCGACCCGCGGAGATCTTTTTGTCCACGGAAAAACGTTTGTTGGTGATGGCTGAGGAACTTTGCCCAGAAAAATCAAAGAAAATGGCCCCCGAACTGAAATTTGATAGTTAATGCGGCCCTCGGACTGAAAAGTTTGGAGACCCTTGATCTAAACGATATTTTTCTGTGAAAAAAATTATTTTGACATCTTGTACCCAGCCGTATTCAAGTAAATACTTAGTTGCTCAATGCTAAACAAGGTGCTTGTTAAAAAGAACTTACAAATTCAGTGGTTTTCCAATAACTTCAGCAGCTACATATTGATTCATTTCTGAATGTTGAGTGGCAGCATAAAGGTCAATGCCATCTTCACTGGGAACTGCTAGTGACACCTGTAATAAACTGACCATTAGCAAACCTTTCTTGGCCTGTAATATAATAAATCCCAACCTCAATCCATGTTATATGATGAATAGATAAAGTAGGTGATAAGGTAGTGTAGGTTAAGATTTAACCACAACAGCCACTCTACATTCATCCAAAACATCTTTCCAATAGACTAACATGAAAATGCTTGGGTTAATCTTATTCTAGTGAATTTAATTGATAACTGAAACCCCCAAGTTTATTAGTATATTTAAATGATTACTGAAACCACTGGTGCAAACAATACAATGGAAAAAAAATAGATATTTGATAATCAAGCTGCTGATGAAGTGTGTGGCTCAATGTTCCTCAGAGAAATGAAAAGAATATGAATTTGTAGATTAGCGAAGAATAAATAAAATTAATGAAGAAGCTCTATAATTGTAACCTGGGTTTCCAGATAGAAATGGAACTGTCCTCCCAACTGACATTCACCCTCTACTACTCTATCCACTGACTGCAAGGCTTCTGAAATTTGTAAAAGAACAATCAGATATTTAATTTCTTTATTTTTGTATTAAAAACGATGAATTTTTAAAACTTAAAGAACAGAATTATTTTAAAAAGTGTAAATATGCTAATTTGAGTAACAACTATTGAGAAAAGAAACATGCATTACCTACCATCAGGTTTTCCAACAGTATATTCTTTAGGGGAAAAGTCGTACTCCTTATTATGTGCAATACTGTCTTGTAAAGTAAGAATAGGTTCAAATATCTCTGAATATGTAACTTTCACCTTCCTTGCTGCTGCCTTTGCTTGACCTATGGTTTCTGTAGCCAAAATTTAAAAAAAAAAATTATGATTTAAATTTGCCTACAATTTTATGTAGATAAAAATATACAATAACATCTCGATCACTAGAAATCCCCATACAAATTTTAAGTGCCAGATGATGATTTGATGAAACTTACTTGCAATAATCAAGCCAAGTGTTTGTCCACAGAAGGTTATTTCTCTCGTTGCAAAAAGCTGGTAAAATAAAATTTTACATTTCAAATTGTTATTTTAAATGTATTTTTTAATGTTTTTTAAGAGTTGATTAAAAAACAGTAAGTCATTAATGTATTTAGTCCGCAAAATGTTACTTGTTTAGCACCAAAAAGCTGATAAAATACAATTTTAAATATATATCACATTGTTATGGTAAAATGTGAGTAATATTTTTAAAATATTGCAGCAAGAAACATGATGTCTTAAATTTGTTTAGTGAAATGGCATAAAAAGACAAAACGGCCATACCAACCTCTTCCTGTTTCAACTTAATGAGACCAGAGCTGGCCATGTAGTCGTTCTTCCCACCTTCAGGTATATCTTTAGCAGTAAGAAATTTAACCACCCCTGGCATGTTCTAAGAAGAACAGAAATAATGACACAGAGCAGCTTACAACTTTTAAATCAGCTTCTATAAACAACTAAATCATTATCACAAGTTCACATTGCTTTTTACAATAATTAATAACATTGCTACCGTTATTCAACAAGTCAGTTGGTCAAATAATTTTGAAAAAAAATTATGTTTGTTTTTAATTACTAAGATGTATAAGAACAAATCTGGCAAGTGTGCTTAAGAATAAATCTGGCAACCAAATTTAAGTACAGTATATCCTAATATATAAAAGGCTGTGTGCGCTCTTCTCTCTCTCTCTCTCTGTCTGTCCGCAAAATATTTTCGCCGGACATCACGTCAGAAACGGCAGCGATATATGGAGAACTTTATACGGACTTTTGTTGAAAATAATAATTAATATGTTAGATGTTTTAAATGTATAACCACAATTTTATTTAAAGAAGAAAAATAAAAAATAAAGGCGTATTCGAATGTAGAGAAACAGTATTATTTATGCAACCGGAAAAGCATTAATGGATGTGAAAAAGAACGCATGAAACTGTGACGTCACTATTGCTTACTAATGACGTCATCTGCCGTGTTAAGAATAAAAAAGAAATGAACTATTTCATTCAAATTTGATTTAGATCTACGTACACTATGAAATGTATACAATACAATTTTTCCGGCCTAAACTCATAACATTTATTTATACAAAATCTTTGTTTGGAACTGGCTAATTTGGGATAAAAAAAATTAATTTGAAAGAATAGGCATATTCGCGTAAGTTAAGATTTTAAAATACGTCTTTCATTCTCTGTATTTTATAAGGTGCCTAAATAGCAGAGATGTTAGTGTACTATAAACTACGCAGGTGGTGCGGGTTCGAGACCCACCAAGTCAACTTGGTTAATGTATTTTTTTTTATTTTGCTCGGACTAAACTTAAAAAAAAAATTCAATTAGGATTCTAGATCTAGATCTAGATTGTCGGGTGTCCGATAAGGCACTTCCCGGCGCCGCAGGCGCTTCAAATTTGGCAGGATCTTGCCTTGGGGCGACAGAGCACGGGGGCCGGTTGGCCGAAAAGTCTACGATGAGGGGGTCAAAACTGACCTCGACTGACCGGTACCTTATATGAGCTATAAATCGAAAAAAAATGTCCACGGAGGAACCTCTTCAAAACTCTTGAGGTCGTAGACCGACCCTCGGGCGAATTAATTAAGCATTCAAATTCTCAATGTTTTCGAAAGCCTAAGCAAAGCTGGGCAGCATGCCTAGTATTTACTAGAGCTTCAGATGGATCTATAGACTCCAAGATGGCTGATGCAACAGTTGAAATAACAAATGCTCCATAAAGTTCATGTTGAAAGTTTGGGATGTCATTTACATACACTGTTTCACCAGAGGCCTAAATAATGAAGACAAAAAAGTTATAATTTTTGTTTAATGATAATTTATTAGTGACTGAGGTGAAAGAGGGTCATTAAAAAATTAATGACATTTTAAAATAATTTTTTAAAATATTTAAGACATCACAAAACTTTGCAATTTTGATATTGTAAGATTATGAAAAATATTTCCTTTTTTTCTTCACTTAGTTTAACCCTTTTCTGTGTGGCGCTATTGCCCATGAATTTTCTTTTGTTTTTTTTAGCATTTAAAATAAATAATTATTGAAATGGTATTAGAAGTCGTGGTTTGTTTAAATTTTAGGATTAATTTAAAATAATCAGTAAAATATTAATGAACAGTCCATTTTCCTTGCTCCTTTCTTCTTCTTCATTCTTAATTTTTAGTGTTGTAAGGGATCAAGCCTTATCTGCCAGAGGGTTTGAACTCGAGACTTTTTTGAATTTGTCAACCATGAGCTTTTGCCGACTCGACCATGCCTCCATCACAATGAAAAATATGTGTTCACTGGTTATGCGCCATTGACTATGATTTCGGCGTGCTTTTCTTTTTTGATTTGCTTCCATAGCATTTGTCCAACCAAGAACAAACTACAAGGCAGCAGTTGTTTGATTTTGGAGTTGTCTCTCCTAGAAGAGTGGCTGTCCCCAGCTAACGAGCCTCATCTGCTCAAGAGTTCGAACTCGAGACTTTTCTGTTTAGCATCAATGAGTTTTACCGACTCGACCACGCTGACCCTCCATTTTCCTTGCTGATTGTTAAAATAAATTTTTCTTCTAAAAAGTGCCATGTTTAAAAATGTACCATTTTTTAGCATTGCTGTACAGGAAGTAAAATGGTTTTTATACCAAGACTTTAAAATGGACTAAAATTTATTTTAGATTTCAGAAGAAATAAATTTTATTAAATGTTTTCTTTATCAGTAGGTGAAGCATTAATAGTAGCTTACAGTAAAAAGATAAACCTTGAAAAAAAATTACCTGCAAAGTAGCAGTTTGTTTTGGTAAAGCTACTTTTAATGGGCTTTCCTTGGTCAATATTGGATAAGTCTGCAAACCAGAGGAAACTGGGTGGTTGAGGCTCCACTGGCCAGAAGTCAACCTTTCGTCTGATGGTTGACAGATTTTAAGGAAAGCCTAAATTGAAAGATTTAATAGAATGATTATACAAAAAAAAACAATGAAAAAACAGATAAACAAAAGCTGTTTACCATTTACTTAAAAACAAAATGACCTTTATAAACAAACAGGCTTTCATGAATATTATAAACGGTCTTAAAGTAATTTATAGTGTTACAGCTTCAAAGACAAATTTTAAATCACACTTTTTAAAGTTTTTTAAAGTTGTTTTTTTTTTGTAAACATGATTAAAATATTTAAACATAATTTATATAATTTTTTACTAACCAGTAAAGATTAATTAAAAACCCCTACGAAACAGAAATGTTTTTTTATTTACTGTTTTTTTATTCCTCTAAATTTTCTAAAAAAATAAGACAAACTGCTTTATGTATTAAAACCTTATATAGCAATGTCAAGGCCAAGCTTTTTCTATAACTGGTGGAGGCCAACAGCTGACCTTTGTCTGGAGCTATCTCTTCTTTGAGGATGTTTAGAGCATCTGATTGAAAAGAAAGATTTCATAAAAATAAATGTGAACAGAAATAAGAATTCTTCTTACACTTACAGTTTTAAAAGTAAATATGAAAATGTAAATACTTCAGTAATTATTTACAACAAATCAACTGATATTTTCATCATACTTGTTAGAACTTGTTTGCTTATAGGTTTATTGGTTAAAAACTTTTCTGTTTTAGGAGCATGATTCTGTTTGAAAGAAAAATATTAATAGTAAAATACTAAAATCTAATTTCTTTAAGTTTCCTGAAGGCAAGTTTTACTTAACACAGATTGAAATTAATTAATATGGAAGTGCTAAGATATCTTACAGTTCATATACTGATTTATATGAATAGATTACATTTTTCGTACACACAACTTAACTTTTAAATCAATTTCACATTTCTTCTGTTCAGTTAATAAATAAATATTGAATTATGAAATAAAGAGTCTAACAGAATTATGTAATGAAATTTTACCATTTCAGAACAGATGCCACCATAAACAATTGATGGTTGGTTGTAAATTGTGTTGTTCTTGCATTCAAATTTGAAAGCTGCATTGACATAAGCACGTGCATTCTAAAATCAAGTAAAACATGACAAAAAAGTCATTCGATTAAGTTTATATTACCCAAGCTACAGGCAATAAAATAATTAAAAAACTAAAATATACATGAGCGTAAACTTGGAGTAGAATTGGAACACACACCTGCCATCTAGGGGTAACAGTGTAAGACTCAAAACTTGTGTCCTCATTCAGTGAAGGTAAGACCACAGCTGTTATGATTTTACTGGACATGTTGACATTTTTCAGGAAGTCCATCATAGTGTATGATGCACTCTTTGAAGTAACAGCATCTGGGATTATATTTATCATATATGACTACATAATTATTTGAAAATACACACACACACGCACGCACACACACACATATATATATATATATATAAATGTATGTATGAGAAAGTTACCATGTATTTCAAGTGTAGCACCAAGAGCAGCAAACACAGTAAACACATCAGATGGGAACTCAGGATGGGCATGCTTTAACATGAGGTTACCAGCTACACACCCCACCTATAATAACCAAAATAAACTGAACAGATTACTCTCTCTATTTTAAAGTTTAATTATTTTGCTGTATAAGTGAAATTCTAAATTGAATTTGTTCTGAAATAAATAAACTCAACTGCTGTATGAAATACAGAAACAACATAACATTTTGAAATGCTTGTGGACAAAGGAAATTATTTAAAACTAGGTTTTTTTTTCTTTTAGTAATTTGTTATGTTATTTAATATCCTTGCTTGTCTAGTTTAATTATATGGTCAATTAATTATTCTTTAATGAAACTGACATTCTCACTGTTAGGTTACTTACATTTCTAACCATTGCATTGCCCAACTGCTTGAAATGTTTGTAAACAGTGGAAAAATATTTAAACCCATGTTTTGTCTGGTTTTCCTTCAACTTTTGTACCAGCTGGGTTAGTGTTGTGGCTGCTCCAATTTTCATAGAATCTACATCAATCTAAAAAAAAAAAAATTATTTTTCATAAAACAAGTTTCAAAAAATTAAAATAACAAAAAGAAACAAATAATAGTAGAACAAAAAATCATTATATAAAATTAGTATTCTCTTTATTTAAAAAAATACATTTTTATGCATCATTCTATTTGAAATGTTAGGAATACCTGAAAACAGTAGAGCTCTTTTATGTTGTGCAAGTCTACATAAACATCAAAATGACCATCATGTTTGTAGACTCCTGTAAGTTGTATTGAAAAAAAAATTCTTTTTAGAATAACAGTATCTGTTTGGTGATTATGTTTTTAAAAATAATTTCTAAAGCCTAAATTCAAAGTTTACCAACCACAAGCTGTATTGCCAAAAAGTAGCCTGATTTTTCTTTCCTTGTTTGCCTGCAGCAATGTGCTAAGAGCTTTCAGTGAAACGGGCCTAAAATATATTAATTAATTAAGTAAATTACAGTGAAAAGTTAAGTTCCTAGATATTTCAAAACCCATCCCACTTGTAAGTTATGTTATTGTTAATCTGAAATCCTTGACCAAGGAAAACCCTAGAATATCCAACCACATTTGTCCAGATGTTTTTCAACCACAGTAACCCTAGACAAACATAATAAAATAAAATCTATAATAAAAGGTAAGTAATAATTAGGAAAGTTTAACAATGTCATCATATTTTCATTTCTTAAAACTCCCACATAAAGCAAGAGTTACCTCTCTTACCTGTACCAGTGGGTTCCGTCCCTTTCCAAGTCAAGACAACTGCTTGATTTAAGACATGGTTTACCTGTCTTTAGACACAGCTTCCTGTCTAGATCCTTAAATTAGACAATTCTACTATCAATTAAATTTACTTCAAAGAAATTTTTTGTTAAAACATCATAAAAAACTATTAAAACGTATAACCAACTAGACAAAGTTTGCTAAAAAAATTTTTAAATGTATGTTTTGGGCTCCTGGTGATGATGGAAAATCATGATTTCCTTTTTGAACCTGACAGTCCATGGGACTAGTGAAGTAGAGTTAACCTGTTTTGTGTGACCTCGGCATACGAAGGGATAGTGGGTTCAGCACAATGCCCAGCCACCTTTACTTTCCTTAACATGAATTAGGTACCTATCAGAGCGAGGTGGGTTCAGGGACATTCTATGTACTTTGATCCCGAGACTTTCAGGTTAGCCGTCGTGTCCTCTACTATTTGACTACTCCGTCACATAGTCTTAATTATCCATATAATAATTCACATTATGATCTGAGCTACAAACTACTATTACTTAATATGTGTAAACAATGACAACAGAAACCTCAATATCAATAGAGTTGCCTCCCTTGTGTCCGGTTGTGAATGATTTCATACCATCCAAAATTGGCCGATACCCTGTACAGCGACACAAATTCCCATCAAAATTGTCTTCCACGTCTTCACTTGTAGCATTAGGATATTGGTGAAGGAGACTGATGAAGGGAAATATTTTTAGAAACTTTGGGATGTATTTTAAAAAATAACCAGTTGGGTCATTTTTATTTTAGAGCTACAAACTTGGATAGAGCCAAGTCATTATAACGCATTGACCACAACTGTAATCAAGTCATTGTAATGTAGATCCTGCAAACCCAGTCATAGGAATTAATTAGTCTAATTAAGTTACTAACCCATGTATACTCTAGTCACTACCAGAGTTTCCTTTACGCACAAGCTTCAGATGGGGGAAGGGCGGCATTGCCTTCCCCCACCCATACAAAACAGAAAAGTATATTGTTTTTATAGAAAATATATACTTTCACAAGTGTCTGCCCCACCATCCCTCCACTGAAAGTTTTAAGCAACCACCTCCAACACCTCATAGAAAAATGTCTGAAAGAAACACTGGTCACCACAAAAACCCATTTATACTCAAATAAAACCAGAATATACTAACCCCTTTAAGCTGATGTAATCAAGAATACACAACACCTATAATCTGATGAAACTAGAATATACTCACCCATACATATTCATGACCATCCCTGGTGTACAGTATCCGCACTGTGTACCATTAAACTGTGCAATCCTCTCTTGGATTGGATGAAATCCATCAATCTGGCTGCCAATTCCTTCTGTGGTTGTGATCTGCCAACCATCTACTGAATACAGCGGGGTCAGACACTGAAAAAATTTCAATCAAGTGTTTGTAAACACATTTTTGTTCTAGTCTTTTTAGTGAGGAACATATTATTCTCTTTCGTAATATTAGACTGTGCAAGGAGTTAGGGAATTAGATTAGCATTATTGGTTGTTTTACCCCTACTCCCCCACTTCAAAATTTGATAGAAATAATTGAAAAAAATGAAGGTCTACTCAAAGTTAACAATCAGTTTGCTTATTTTTTAATATTTTAATTTAAATAATTTGCTCTGTTGTTGATGTAATTTATGTTGTATAGCTATGGGCAGATCTCAAGAGGAAATGGAGGCCTAGCTGCCCCCCCCTCCCTTCCCAATATTCAATATATATTTATATTTTTTTAAAATTTAATAAACCTCCACAACCGGAAAGAAAAAAAAACACAATGGCTAGTTCAACCTTTTGGTTTAGAATCAGAGTTTCTTCCAGGCATCTCTTCATAGAAAATATATACTTTTAACAGTGTCCGCCCCCCCCCCCCCGCCCCTCCCCGAAGAAAGTTTACCGCCCCCCTGAAAATTTCAAGTGCCCCCCCCCCCCCCCCCCCCCCGGAGAAAAAAGTCTTGAAGAAACACTGTTTAGAATACCCACCGAAGGGACGGTGTAGGTTTGGTACTGATCAGAAAGAGGCTCCAGGTGTGTAACACTGACAGCACAGCATCCACAGCCAGCTTCACGACACATGACCTTTGTGCCCTTTAACCCTGCCACATCTCTCAAGTAGCTGTTCAAGGAGATTGTGAGGGGAAGCTGCGACAAGGCAGAAACTAGCCAAAGGAAAAGTTTACAAAATATAATACATGTAACAATGCTATTGAAATTGATTCATTAATGGCAGCTTAATTAGTTAATTAACTGCAGCTGTGAAAAGGCAGAAAACAGCCAAAGGATAAGTTTAAAACATTATACATGTAACAATGCTATTGAAATTAATTAATAAGTTACTTAATTAAAGGCAGAACCTAGTCAAAGGAAATGTTTACATAACACTAAAGGCCTAAAAGTTAAAATGCTATTGAAATTAAATGAAAATAAATGAATAATGAAATTTTTCTAATGCTATATAATATATTATATAGCAATATATAGGCTTGGGTTATGAATATTATAAATATTTTAATGTAGTTTAGATGCAAGTATATTTAAAATCCTTTTGTTTAATGAGCTTAAACATACTTGTATGCAGAACTCCATTGACCACAAAAGATATTTCTCCTGTTGGACTTTCACTGAAAATATGTCAAGTATTGAAAGTATAACTAAATTTTGCTCATCAACAATTTAAAAAAAATAATCAACCTGTTTTTAATACTGTTTTGTTTTTAAAGATGAAACTCTATCAAATTTTATTAGTATTCATTAGGCTATATTTTAATGTGCTTTGTAGTATACTGCATACTGAATATTGCTTCAAGTAGACCTATATCTTTACAAGTAGGTCCTTATATAATGTGTAAATCTAAATCAAATTTTAAAAGAAATTCCTGAAATAATACTAAAATAGTACAAACTACTGATTTAGGCATTAGAATTAGATATAGTATGATGAAAAGGGGAGCTAACTTAAAATTTATGAGTAAATTATACAGCATATGAATAATGAATATTTCTCTTGCTTTATTTTAAAGAATAATAAAGATACAATTGTACATCTAGATCTAGCTAGACTAGATCTAGATTCTAGTACTAGATCTAGGAGCCCTATGCCAGGCATATTGGGACTAGACTCAATTATAACTGCTCTATATAGTCTTTCTACTCATTCTATTATATATATCCAACTGCAAGAGTGATTTTAAACTTTTTTTTTTCCTTTTAGAGTTTAGATCAAACTAGATTTAGGTCTAAGCTCTGATCTCTAAAGGCTAAAGGGATTAAATTTAACCTTAAGCTCAATGCGCTGCTCATAGCCCAGTCAAACAAAACAAACGCAATTATCTCCCTGTGTGTAATTCTAGACTATAATTTACGTAATCAGAATAGATCTAGATCAATTTAAGTAATGTATAGTATTACTAATATTGACTAGCAAAAAAAAAGCTTAACTTACATCTTCGACATTTTTGCAACCAAACTGAGGCTGTGCTACTAGTATGTAGTGCAGCACAACAGATGTGATAAATTGTTTAAATAACCTAGCCTGCACCGAGCAATTAAGAGACTAAAAATAAAGTGGTGACTTGCAGTAGCACATCGCGGCAACGTTCGAGCAAAAAAAAATAGGTCAAAGGTCGCTACGCATGAGTTTTTCTTTTCAAACTTTTTTTTTGTGAACACGTGGTTCTGTGAATAGGCTTATGGGCCTATAATGTATTGTAAACAAACAGTAAAAACAAACAGTAAAAGAATAGCGGATGGTGGTTGCGAGCCAGGGGCGGAACTACAGTGCCGCCAGACCCCGCAATGCGGGGGGGGGGGGGGGGGGGGGGGGGGCACGTCATTTAGGGGCCCACAGCCGACCATAATAATTATTTTTTATAGTTAAAATTTTAAAAATTTTCTTGCATTTTTTACTTGATGGTTGTTTTGTAAAAAGATTACCGTAGCTGCGGTTGGATTATATTTATTAGACACCACCCCACGCTCTTTTATATTTTTCCCTTTGTTTTTAAACCACTGTGAAAGCCGAGTCCTCTTTCTCCTACAATTAAAATAAACAAAGATGAACAAACGTTCAAACCACTTCCATCACTTATTTCCCTTTTTTAAATAGTCAAAAAGGGGTGCTCATAAGCTCCTTTTAAAAGATTAATAAAATTGTACTACACAAATTTAAAAAAAAAAACAATTACTTCTCTTAATTATTTTTTTATAAAGTACTTACTAAAGAATAACATTGTATAAAAAGGAAATGTATTTAAAATTAATAATATAAATAAAAAAAAAACATAAAAATAAACATAACACGAAACACCATTATTTATACAAAGCTTTCATGTTTTATATTTTTTTGACAAACAAAAGGCTAATTGTTTAGAAAAAGGTCCTACAGCAAAGAGAAAATAATAAACTGATTTTCAAAAAAAAAAAAATAAAAAATAAAAAATAAATAAATAAAAAAAAATATTTAGAATCGGGATAAGGGTAAATCAGATAATTTACCTCTACATGACTTATCTTTGGCTCTAGTGACTAGTGAATCTTTTCCCTGGGCATAGAGTTGCTCATCATGATAACCACGAAGAGCCTCATTCTTGTGAGACGCTAACGATTGATATGGGAAAAGATCAACTGTCTGTCAGTGAAACAAAAACAGTCAGAATGTCAGGAATAATGATGATGAGCAGCTGATATAGTTTTCTGTCAGTGATTCTTTCATACTTCTTCCTCCCAGAGTTTCTTCCAGGCATCTCTTCGAGGGGGGGGGCGAACCTCCCCGAAAAAAATTACCCCCCCCCCCCCCCCCCGAACGAAATAAAATTTATATAATTTATATAGAAAATATATACTTTAAACAGTGTCCGCCCCACCCCCCCCCCCCGAAGAAAGTCTACCGACCCCCCCCCCCCCCCCCCGAAAATTTCAAGTGCCCCCCCCCCCCCCCCCCCGGAGAAAAAAGTCTGGAAGAAACACTGTTTACAAGGTGCTTGTTATGGTGAGCCTATAATTGAGTAATATAGTGCTGGTCCACTTCTATTCTAGCAAAGACGAATGTAGCCGTGCTTCGAACATTCCCAAAGTTAAGGCGACGACCTGAATTATTATACTCGGTTGAAGTTAAGAATATAAACCCCAACTTGGCTTTACGGACTTATTTAACAGTTTACTACATACATTTTTTGGTACCAAAATGTAGATCTAGACCTAACTGTGGGACACTGACAGTGGCGTAGCCAGGATCGTCTCAAGGGTGGGGGTTCCAATTTTTACCCGGGGACAAACTTTCGATTTGCACCCCCCAACTTTCGATTTGCACCTCCCCCCTCAAACTTTCGATTTGCACCCCCCCCCCTCAAACTTTCGATTTGCGCCCCTCCCTCAAACTTTCGATTTGCACCCCCCTCAAACTTTCTATGGGGGGATATGATCCCCCTAACCCCCCCCCCCCACCCCCCTGCCTACGCCACTGATCTTTTTCATCTTTAGCCTTTACAAATGGGTGTGTGAGTGGGTTGGGGTCGGTTTTTGCCATATTTGATAACTATATACATATAAATGGGGGGGAGGGTGCGTAAAATTGATAATTGGTCTCTGGCGCTGGAATAGGTCGCTACGCTCAGTAGATCTATAACTAAAATCTAGATCTATAACTTTACTTAAAGTTTAGCACTAGACTTATTGTCTTATAACTAGACTAGCTAGAAGGCGCGACATGCGACTTTTAACTTTTAAAGATTTAACTTTGGCCGGTCTATATTTTTCTCCTATCTTTAATATTTTGTCACTATAATACATCGTTATATAGTTTTATAAGTTTAATTCAAGTTAAAACTCTTGATAATTCCTTTCGTCTTAAAATCATTAATGTTCTCTTACAAATAGATTTATATAAAATCGAAACAGTAATTAAAATCTGATCAGCCCAGTTGCTATGCGATAGCTTGGGTTTGTCCTGATTCTAAGCGATAAAGTATTCAATGCGCATGCTAAAAGCAACAATCTTACCTCCATTTTTGTCATTGTTTACAGTCCAAATTGTAAATATTTAAAATATAATCCGAAGAAATTTAAAATATAATCGAATTCAATTTTATAAAATATACAGAAGGACAATTTTAGTAACATATTCTGTTAAATTTCAAAGAAAACAATCCATGTACTAATTAAAACGACCAGGTTAATTATATTCCGGCATTTTCTTTGAGATAACTCTGTGAGCCTGTCACCTCTACTGGCAGCAATGAACACTCACTGTGTGCTACAGTGTTACTACTGTTAGTTCAGTACTAGATTCTAGATCTACTACTTTCAGTACAATACAATAAGTGTTAAGTTATTGTCGATAACTGTGTGTGGTGGTGTGTCACTGATTTACTGACACTACTGACTGACTGAAGACAGAAAAATAAATAGGCTTATCATAGACATAGTCGTCATAGTCCCATCGAACAAGTCAAAATGAAAGTCTGAAAGTGAAAAAAGTACTCATAGAAGTACTAGATTCTAGATCTAGAAGTAGAATCTTTCTTTTGAATATCATTGTAAACGTAAAGTATAGTCTATAGATCTAGTTCTATTCTAAGCTAAGTCTAGGGCAAGACATTATTTCCATTATCGGACACTGGTATAAATCTTCTCCCTCATCTTTTCCCAAAGAGATGTCTGAAAGAAACACTATTAACTTATTAAGATTAGACAAATAAATTAGGTGGTATTGTTAGTGTCTATATTATCAATTACAGATGATGTCATTATTATTGTGTATTTTTTCAGCAATGGCTTCATTTTTTCTGTGTACTTTAGAACTATACATATTTGGTTCCATTTTGAAAACTTCCTATACTATGTTCCATGTAACGTCACAGTCTTTCACTATGCATCTTTTAAATTTCCTTGTGTTTTATCTAGAGTGTTACAGGCAAACAGAATAATGAAACTATAATAGTTCATAGGCCTAGCCCTAGATTTAGATAATTAGAATATAAGGCCCACAGCTCACACACTCCTTTGCTGTAAAACCTAAGCCAAAGAAGTATTTAGAATAGGCCTATAGATTTGTATAGAACACAAAGTGACAAAGATTTAAACTACTGAAGAAGTAATTAAATGTAAATATGCTGAGAAGTCAGACCTTTGAATACTAAATAGTAGTAGCGTGGCTGTATTTCTTTCATCAGTAAGCTGTGTAGTTTGTAGTCAATATAGAACATAGTGAAGTGTTTATTAACTAAAAAGTAATACTAATTACTGTAAATTGAAATAAAAAACAATTATGACTTTGCCTAATACATTAAAATATTCAATAATAAACTAAAAAAACAATTATTATCTACAAACATACTACTAAACTTTAATTATTTATTCCTCTTCTTCTTTCTTAATTGTAATAGTGGAAAGCATATCATCCAGCCCAAGTAAGTATTACGTGTCACCTTGTTATGCACCTTATCGCCCATTGACTCTGATTTCAGCCTACTTTTCTTCCTGGGTTTGCTTCCTTAGTCCTGGTTACTGGTAGTCCTAGAGTGTTTGCTGACTGCAGCAAATGAGCTTTATTTGCTCGGGGTTTAAACTCAGGTCTTTTGGAGTTTGCAATCATATGCTTTCCTGTCCTACCACACTGTCCCCAACCCAACCTTAATTAATAACTAGTCTATTACATTCTAATTACACCTATGGATTTTATGTACTGCATAAATATTACTGAGTTTAACTACAGCTGCTATTTGCTATTTAGGAAAAGATATGTAAAATAGAATAAAAAAACTTTATTTTGATATTAAATCAATGTATTAATTGAGACTTTAATTTGAATTTAGATTATCATACTCACATAAACCTGACAGACTAATCTGACATAAAGATCAGTACTTTGGGGAGAAAAGAACCACTTTAGTTTACTTTTCTGCTAAAGATTTTTATAAATAGCCAATGCTTTTATTTTTATTTTAGAAAATATACTCAGACGCTTTATAAGTGTGAAATTAATGGATTTATAACTTTTTGTGCTTTGGGAAATTCAAATGGAAACTTTATGCTGTGTTTTATCAAAGTGTTTCACAAAGAACTTACTGTCCAGACAAATTCATAACTGTGAAATGTGAGCTCTGACGTTGCAATGATGCAACTAAACACATCAAAGGTTAGAGAGTGAACACAATGGCTAGCAAGTACATCAGAAAACCAGTGGCGATTCCCTTAGAAATGTGAGTACCATTTTATTATTCTTACAACATAAGTACAGTGAATCAAAGTTCCTCTTTACACCTAGCGATTTATTTTGCAAGTAGAGTTCATATGTTTCTTGGCCTTGGCATATGAAGGGACAATGTGGTCAGCACTATCTTACAATATACCTGATGTCTATATCTACTGCAATTTTCTGTTTTAAATATTTTAACCTTTCACACTTATAAATACTTTCTAATTTGTAACTCATTCTTGTAGTACCATGTCCAATCTGTTTACAAAAAAGTCAGAATGGTTCCTACTTCCTCAGAAAGTGGACTAGACCCTAAACGGCTAGTCTATCATTTTCACTGGCATATTTTTACCTAGCAAAATCAGGAGATTTAGTTTT